TGTTGGAGGGAGGTTGTATATCCAACACTGTTTTTACCTTTTCTGGGTTAGCCACTATCCCTCTCCTATTAACTATGAAGCCCAAAATTTTTTCCTGCTGACACCCCAAAGACACACTTAGCTGGATTGAGCTTCATCTTGTATTCTCTCAGGACCTGAAACGACTGTGCTAAGTGCTCAATGTGGAACTTGGCCTTCAATGACTTGACCAGTATGTCATCAATATAGATCTCCATGGAGGTTCCAATCTATTTTTGAAACATCTTATTCACCAGGCACTGGTAAGTGGCTCTTGTATTTTTTAACCCGAAAGGCATCACCTGATAGCAGTATGTCCCTTACTCAGTTATGAATGAGATTTTCTCTTGGTCACTGGGATCCATCTTGATCTGATTGTACCCAGAGAAGGCATCCATGAAGCTAAGGAGCTCATGTCCCGCAGTGGCATATACAATCAAATCTATTCGGAGTAAAGGAAAATTATCTTTCGGACAAGCACGGTTGAGGTTTGTAAAGTCAATGCAAAGATGTCATTTGCCGTTTGTCTTCTTGACTAGGACTAAATTGGCTAACCAGACTGGGTAATCCACTTCTCAAATGACTTTCGCGTGAAGGAGCTTGTTAACCTCTTCGTTGATGGCATTATGACGCTCCGGGGCGAAACTCCTCTTCTTCTGCTTAATGGGCTTACAGGCTGGATTCACTCTGAGCTTGTGAGTGATGATAGAGGGATCAATCCCATTTATGTCATTTTGCTTCCATGCAAAAACTTCCTTGTTCCCTTTCAGGAATTGGGAGGAGATCCTTGATTTCCTTGCTCAGCTTGGATCCAATGTAAACAAGATGCTCTGGCTCCTCATCCATTTGAACAGGTTCCAGCTCTTCTGATGATGTTGGCCTGGTCTTGAGTTCATCCCTTATGTCAAGCTCATCCAATTGGATGCTCTCTACCTCCTTACTTCTCATAGCTGCCATGTAGCATTCCCATGCTACGCGCTGGTCTCCTCGGATCACTCCAACTTTATTTTCTGTTGGAAATTTCATTACAAGGTGATAGACAGAGGGAATAGCCCTTATAAAATTGAGCGATGGCTTTCTAAGGAGCATATTGTACGCTGAAGGTGCATCAACCACTGAGAATTTCACAGTTGTTGTAGTCTAACAGGGTGGGTCACCTAAGGTCAAGATGAGTTGGATTAACCCAGGGTAGAACCCTTTCTCTTGAGAATTCCAATAGGTGGGCACTTACTGGTTCAAGCTTTTCCCTTCCTATATCCATTTTGTCGAAAGCAGAAGAAAAAATAATGTCTGCCGAGCTGCTATTGTCAATCAAAACACGATGAACAGTTTTGTTGGCTACCACAGCTCTTACCACCAAAGGGTCATCGTGGGGATGTTGGCAGCCCTTCAGATCTGCATCTAAGAAAGTGATAGTCGTGTCTAAGCGTGGAGATTTAGACACGGTATATACTTCGGGAGCTTCTATGGCTTTGATTTTACGCAAGTGGGCCTTTTTAGGCAGAGCTGGACCTTCCTCCTCCCACAAATCCTCCTGATATCACTCTGATCTCCCCCATAGGTTGCTAGTGTGGCTCTGGTGCTTGATGCTGAGGGGTGGAGGTGGGAGAGCTCAGTTTTGATTATCATTGGTCACATAACGTCGCAGCTACCCTCGCTGGATTAGAAATTCTATTTATTTCTTCAATTGGATACAGTCGTTGGTGTGGTGACTGTGGTCTCTGTGGAAGTCACAATACTTCGTAGGATCCATTTTTGCCGAGTCTGCTTTCATCCGAGGTGGCCACCTTAAGAACCTCTCATTTTGTACCTCATACAGTATCTGAGATACCGTAGCAGTCAGAGGGGTGAGCTGCCGGGGTGCATACCTTGGTTGTAGCTCTGGTTGTGGAAGGGCGAGGCGATCCCTGACATTTTCTCTTCTTTTCAGGGAACGCTCTCTGTCTATTCTTGGAGGCCTGCCTCACTCTCTTTCCTTTCTGGGACTTCGTTCTCTCTTCTTTTCTTCCTTCCCTTTCTCCTTTCTTGGCGAAGTGCTCTCGACCTTGAAGAGGAGCGCTTCCTCGCCATTTATGTACTTTTCTGCTTTGGCAAGCACCTCCGCCATACTAGTCTGGGGGTTCCTTGAGATGAAAAATATCAAATCTTTTGTCTGAACTCTCAGACCTGCTATGAAAGCTGTAATAACAAATTTTTCGTCTAGGACATCCACCTTCAAGGATTCAGAGTTGAACCGTTGGACATAAGACCGTATGTTCTCATCAGGTCCCTATTTCACATTTAACAAATGGTAGCTTAGTTTCTTATAGTTTCAAGCTCTGATGAAGTGGGATACAAACGAGATTGATAGCTCTTTAAAATAGAAAATCGAGGCTAGGGGGAGTCTGTTGAACCATGCTAAGGCTGAGCTCTTCAGGGTGATAGCAAAGACCCTGGATCTCATTGGATCTTGATATCTATGCAACTCCATTTGCTTTTTGTAGGTGTTGAGGTGGTCCACGGGATCTTTTGTCTCATCAAAATCATCCACCTGCGGTATTCTAAACTTAGGTGGGAGAGGGAAGTGCAGTACCCCAGCAATGAATGGAGACTCAGTTTGCTGCACCAAGACATCTATAGTGACTAGGGCCTTGCTCTTTACTGCCTCCTTCATCTGACTATGCTCTTGCTGGATGTCTTTGAAACGTTGCTCCCAGTTGTATTCTCTTCTCTCTTGTTAATAAGGGAAGAAGTCGCTCCTCTCGCCTTCCTTATACTGACTTTGCACTTCCTCGTGGTGACCATTCTTAGGGGGTTGGCGAGATTCCTGCCCCAAGGTCTGGCTATTCTCTCCCACCTCATTAAATTCTCTGAGGGGGTCAAGATGCGGTTGTTCCCTTGGTGGTGGGTTATTCTGGCCTCCTTGGGCCGGTCGCGCCTCCTATGGGCATTATAGGAGCTTTAAGAGTTCTTCATTTTATTTTATCAGGCGTTCATTGACAAGACGAATGACCTCCATCTCATTATTCATGGGAAGGCCCCCTATAGGGGGATCTGTTTCTTGCGCATTTTCGGATTATCTGCTATTTGCGGCTCTCTGTTGATCTTGCATCCGTACAGGGTTGGTCTGACTTCGGCTTATGTTTCGCGTTGATACCATCAGTCACTGACAAATCAGCTTTATTTGTAACAGGAACAGTCGTTCCCACAGACAGCGCCAAACTGATGGTGTATTTCAACGTGAAACCATTTTTGTGATGACGAGTAAATGAAAGAAACAATATTAGAATTATTGAGATCTAAGTTATTAGACTCGAGAGAATTGTTGGGGAGTTGAGAAATTAACACAATAGAAATATAGTGATTTGCCAGCTCGGGAGCTTGGCTAGTCCACTTTGGAATGGAGACTCTTACTCCTTTTCTTTCAATAATTGCCATTACAAGGTTACAATGGCTCCTTTTTGTTTCTAGGGTTCCTCTTCTTGTTAGGAGGTGTTACATTGCATTTATAGGGTCGTTCTCTGCTAAGTGGGATCTTGGCCGAGATTTTTGTAATTACTTCGCAAGGTTCTCCCTAATTTTTAGGAGTAGATATTGATTGGGTGAGATTAGATGTCTTGATTATAGCTTCCTAACGCTTTAAGAACCTCTCGTGATTATCCAGCTGTTGCTTTGGTTGTCATTGCAATCGCTTATCTTGAGGGTACCTCCAGCTCTACTCTTCCGAGTTCTGCTTGTCTAGTCTGACCTCCTGAGCTGGTACTTGAGATTTATTTTGAGGTATTATCAGAATGTAACAGTGATGTTATGTCAATAATATTAATGTAGTATCATTAATTAATAATAAAATGTTAAGTGAATAAGATAAATTTCACTTAAATAATTATTTTACTTATATGAAAGACGGGAAGTAATTATTTGTTTATATGAATGGTTTGATTATTAATTTTAGTGAGTCTATTTGCTTATTTATTTTAATATTATTAATTAATAATATTACGTCAGTATTGTCACGTGATATCACCGTTGTAATGAATATTTTCTCATAAAGTACATTGCCTCTTAAATTTGGATGGAAAGTGTGACATCGCATTTTAATCTATAAATTATGTAAAAGTTATATGAAGGGTTTTAAATATCAAAAAATTAAAATACATTTGAGGTATACAATGGGTCAAATTAAGTTGGCCGTAGAAAATAATATTAGAGGCGACAGTATCCTCTTATGAAACTCTGATGGTTATGATGGAATGTGCTCTTGATACTCTATTTTTGAAATTCTCAAAGGGTTTTTGGTGTAATTTGTGCCAACATCAAATATGATTTTAGATTACGAGTAAATATTATTTTATTCATTTGAATTATTATTTTTATTTTATTTTATAACCTCAACTATAAATTTATTTATATTACACCCTAAAGTATTAATTTTGTTTTATATTACTCCAATAAATAACGATAAATTTAAAAATTTGTCAAAAGAGGGAGGAAAATCTCAAAGAACTACTCGTCAAGTGTCTAGTATCACTTTATTTTATTTCTTTTACAACTAAATGGTCGCTGAGAGGAAAAAGAAGGTCGGCTAGAGAAAAAAAAATTTAGAATTTAAGAAAAATAAAGTCATAGATGAGTAATTTTTTTAATTTTTGACATATATATGTGTAATAGACAGTTGTTTATTGATAATACAGATCACTCAAATGGGCATTTATTGTCAAAAAGTTGATAGACGTTATCTATTGGAGTAATATTAAATAAAATTGATATTTTAAGGTATAATGTGAGAAATTTTATAGTTGAAGGTATAAAGCGAAAGAAAGATAATAATTTAAGGGGATAAAATGTAATTTATGCTTAAATATCCGACTGTACCTAAGATAATCCTTCTCTGCAATTTTAACCACCCGATGAAGCTCAAAAATGAAAGGCAGAACAAGAATTAAATACAGATATAAAAAAAAAAAAAAAACTATCTTTACAAAACCTAAACCAAATGAGCTTTTCAACCGTGGAAGCGGTTCGGGTTCGTATTTTCACCAAGCTCAATATTGTCCATAATTACAATGAATTAATACTACCACTCCTCTGTGCTTGTCCAAACAGTCCCGTCAGAAACATTTTTGTCCTAAAGACGTACCTTAAGATATGATCAGACACTATTACAACTTCTGCAGTTGCCTAGTTCATGTCAACCTTTGGAAAGCGAATCACATAGTTCAGTTCACACAGCAGCAGATATGTCAGAGGCTTTCAAGTACTCTTTGAACAAAGACGAGAGAGAGAGAGAGAGGTGGAAATAATGGTGGTTTGCCGGTGAAAATTTAATGACCCTTTAGGATTTACTCACTACTTTGGCCATTGAGACTTGAGCTTTATGGGAGAGTAGAGGGTTGGTCAGAAAAATCCAAAGTTTGCATAACCGTAGCTTCACACGCGTCCCACCTTCCTCTTTAATTTCTGCTTTGATCGATCGGACTTAAAACAGTCCTTTAATTACAAGCTTATCTTCGAATCTTCTCTTCTTTATCATCATTATTATCTTGGCATTTCTCTCTTTTACACAACAACTTACCTACCTTACTTTCTCGACTTTCCGGCGAGTTATGGAAGTTTCCGGCGATGGAATTTCCACAATGGCCATAGTACCCGTCGAGAATGGGGTGCAGGATAAGCATTATCCTACCCCACTAGCTTCCCATGAAGACGTTGTCAAAAACCCTACTCTCTTCTGGGACACTCTCCGTAACTTCCATTCTGTATTGGGCACCAAATTTATGTATGCCTTTTACCTTTTTTTCCATTACTTTTGTACAGTTTTTTTTTCATTCATGAACTTTTATTATAATAATCTTTTTTTTGTGCTTTGTATATTTGTACTTGAATTTTCTTCTGTAATCTTTAAAAGGGTTCCTGTGATTGGAGGAAAGGAGCTAAATCTGCATGCTCTATACATAGAGGTTACCAAGAGGGGTGGTTATGACAAGGTTGGGTTTGTGAACTGAAAAAAGTTTTTTTTTTTTTTTTTAATTATTTATTTACTTAGTGGGAAAAAAAACAATTCATTTTCAGGTTGTGTCACAGAAGAAATGGAGGGAAATTGGTACTGTTTTCAACTTCTCTCCAACGACCACAAGTGCCTCCTATGCATTGAGGAAAAACTATTTTAGTTTGCTTCATCATTATGAACAGGTTTACTTCTTTAAGCTTCAAGGTCCCTTGCTTGACGACACAACAGGTATATATGAGGATTCTCTCTCTTAAACTCTTTCTTTTTTGAGACTTCTCTCTCTTAATTGACCTTAACTTTTGGTACTTCCATCATTTTTCGGTTGTTCTGTTTCTGGGTTTTTTTTCCTCTTGTGGACCCAAAATGGGCCACGGTGTTAAACGAGACGACCTACTCAGGCTTGGCACAGGCGATTAATAAGAAAGTATTAAAGGTGATGCATCAATTATGAAGCAGACATCAATTAATTTCTCTACCACAGATGCTGAATTTGCTTGTGAAACAACAGATCTGTGGTTGTTGTTGGGTAATATCTGGATAACATTTGTCTTATTTGGGCTTCTGTATCCTGCTGGTTCTTGTATTGCTCCAATGTCTGATTGTGATACCTTTGACCTCTCACATGGAACCCGCCGAACATTTGAAAAAAAAAGAAAAGAAATTTCACATCATTGTTTTCTAAAACTTCACTAGATATGCAGGTGGTGGGATCTGATTTTACACAGATTTAACTCTATTAAAGATCCCCATTTACTTTAACTTGCAAACCTAGGTTTGATTTAATGGCAGCTGGTTGTCGCGTAATATCTGGAAGACAGCTTTATAGTGCTCCATGTGCTCTTCATGCGTTCCATTATAGACCACAATGTCATCAACCGTTCATCAGGTTGCAAAACTTTGCTGGGGCAGAGTGGAGTCATTCCCTTGACCCCAAAATTTAGTTTTGATTCAAATCCCTTCTCAAAACGATGCCTTAAAGAGAATCCAACTAAAGATGTTTTGGGAGATTTTCTTGTAGCTAGGGCTTTCTTTATTTGTAAATAAGTCGGGATCGACCGCCTTGACATCTTAGTCTCAGGAAGTAGTAGTCAGAGAGCGGGCAAAGGAGGGTTTGACTTGAAGATACCAGCCGAGCAACTTGTTCTTAAATATCTATTGTATGCATGGACTAGTAGCATAATACCTTTCATAGCCTTGGGATTGATGTTTAGAGTTTTCTGCTGGAGCCATGATTTCCGTCGTCTCTTCAACGGTGGTCCAATGACTGCACCTATTGGGGCGACTCCAATGAATGTGCCTATTGAGGCAACCCATCTGCGTATTGTCGTCTTCTTTGAGTTATGCCTGTTTTCTATCGTCTTTACTTTCGGAATCAACATGTCATGTAATTCTATCGAAGGAGTCTCTTGCTAAATAAAAGGAGAGTAAGTTGGATTTCCATTCTCAATCACGGCTTCCTGAAAACTTCCTGCTAGTAAATCTGTTGAAGGAACTAATTAGAAATGGGGTGTTTACTACTGTTCTTGATTCATTTCAAAAATTGTGTAGCTTTTGGTCCTTAATTCTTCTCCAGACACTATAATCTGGTCAGTCCATATGTTCAATGCAAGGCTCTGATGAGGAATTTACCTTTTAACAAGACAAATTTATCAAAGGAGTACAAGATACCAACATCCAGGAGCCCATGTATTTGTGTTGTATGTGGAATTAAAACCCAAGTTACATGATAAAATGATGGCAATGTAAGTCAATATTTACTTCCTTATATCATGAAGTTGACCCTGTTTTTCTTGGGGGAGAAGTGTTTGATTTAATTCAGTTTTAATTTCAAGGAATATAGTGGGAGAAAGATACGAAAACTTGTGTTGAAATGATTGAAATTCAGTACGTGAAGACTATCCAATTCGAGGGGACCTTTGGACTCTAACGGGTTTAGCTTGGAGGCTCACTCACCAACTAGAGGAGCACTAGTGTCTTGTGCAACTTCAACGGTTTGGACAGGTTAGAGGTCAACTACGACGGAGTCTTAGTTATAGTTTAACTCTAACCCCAACTTAATCTCGACCCTTCAACATTAGCATTGTCCAAGTTTAAATTTTTGGACATGGGTTGAAGCCAACTGGTACAATCCGGGTTGAAAACAGATTCTACTTGTAATATAGCTAGACTAGATATCATTGATTGGACATTATTGTGCAAATATTTTAATTTATGAATTGTGCAACTTTTGTAGTCTACCTTTGTTTCCATTTTGAATGATCTTAACTAACATTATATGAAAGTTTGCTAAATCTTGTCATCTCCATTTTGTTTTACCCCCTTAGGTCCTCCTTGTTTCCAAGGTATAGGAACAATTGATGGGAAAATCGATTGCGGTTATTTGGTGTCTGTGAAGTTGGGTTCTGAAGTTCTCAAGGGTGTACTCTACCATCCAGATCATCCGGGCTCTGCCACGTCGATTGTCCAACCATGCACCACAATTGTTCCATACAAACCACATCCTCATCGTTCAGGTCGGAGGAACAGAAGGAGAAGGGGAGGAGACCCTAGCCACCCAAAACCCAATAGAAGTGGTTACAACTTCTTCTTTGCTGAAAAGCATTCCGCTCTCAAATCTCTCTACCCAGATAGAGAAAGGGAGTTCACCAAGATGATTGGAGAGTCTTGGAACAACCTGAGCCAGGAAGAGAGGATTGTAAGTACATTAGTTGAAGGCAATTTAACGATACATTCGTAGTCATTATTATTATGTTTTAGAATTTGCTAAGGGCAAATCTAGATATTGAGTACTACATTCATCAGGCTCTCATATAATGTGTGGAGATCGTAGGCTTTACATAGTCACCATATGTGAATGATGTCGATTGGAGACACATTCAACGTGAAGAAAATCCCCATGTCCTGAAGATCCACAAGGTCCATTTTTGCCCAATTCTTGTGCTTATAAGGTCTCTTCAATGTGTCTGACTTAGACCATTGAAATGTGGTAAAGGGGTGAACATAAAACTGCAAAACAGATAGTTTTGAGAAAATATAATCATCTTGGTCTAAACTTGCTGTCTAAAATAGGACCTAGTTGTTTGATTTTGAAGTTGGCAATTTCCTTAATTTGAAGTAAATGTTGCATTCTGACAGGACTCCCCCGTCCCCCGGCGGAAGAAATTAAGAAAATCTCATAAATTTTTGAATGAAAACGTTTATGGGTTGATTGTTGACGTCGATTATTGATTTGTAGGTTTATCANGTCCAAGTTTAAATTTTTGGACATGGGTTGAAGCCAACTGGTACAATCCGGGTTGAAAACAGATTCTACTTGTAATATAGCTAGACTAGATATCATTGATTGGACATTATTGTGCAAATATTTTAATTTATGAATTGTGCAACTTTTGTAGTCTACCTTTGTTTCCATTTTGAATGATCTTAACTAACATTATATGAAAGTTTGCTAAATCTTGTCATCTCCATTTTGTTTTACCCCCTTAGGTCCTCCTTGTTTCCAAGGTATAGGAACAATTGATGGGAAAATCGATTGCGGTTATTTGGTGTCTGTGAAGTTGGGTTCTGAAGTTCTCAAGGGTGTACTCTACCATCCAGATCATCCGGGCTCTGCCACGTCGATTGTCCAACCATGCACCACAATTGTTCCATACAAACCACATCCTCATCGTTCAGGTCGGAGGAACAGAAGGAGAAGGGGAGGAGACCCTAGCCACCCAAAACCCAATAGAAGTGGTTACAACTTCTTCTTTGCTGAAAAGCATTCCGCTCTCAAATCTCTCTACCCAGATAGAGAAAGGGAGTTCACCAAGATGATTGGAGAGTCTTGGAACAACCTGAGCCAGGAAGAGAGGATTGTAAGTACATTAGTTGAAGGCAATTTAACGATACATTCGTAGTCATTATTATTATGTTTTAGAATTTGCTAAGGGCAAATCTAGATATTGAGTACTACATTCATCAGGCTCTCATATAATGTGTGGAGATCGTAGGCTTTACATAGTCACCATATGTGAATGATGTCGATTGGAGACACATTCAACGTGAAGAAAATCCCCATGTCCTGAAGATCCACAAGGTCCATTTTTGCCCAATTCTTGTGCTTATAAGGTCTCTTCAATGTGTCTGACTTAGACCATTGAAATGTGGTAAAGGGGTGAACATAAAACTGCAAAACAGATAGTTTTGAGAAAATATAATCATCTTGGTCTAAACTTGCTGTCTAAAATAGGACCTAGTTGTTTGATTTTGAAGTTGGCAATTTCCTTAATTTGAAGTAAATGTTGCATTCTGACAGGACTCCCCCGTCCCCCGGCGGAAGAAATTAAGAAAATCTCATAAATTTTTGAATGAAAACGTTTATGGGTTGATTGTTGACGTCGATTATTGATTTGTAGGTTTATCAGGATTATGGGTTGAAGGACAAAGAAAGATACCAGAGAGAAATGAAAGAATACAAGGAGAGACTCAAGAACGGGCTTGCCTCTTGAATCGAGCAAGGATTATACCGGCACCAAAGAGCATAAATACAGGCTTGTGTATCCAAAAAATCAAGGTGTAAATTGTCCTAAAGAATCTGAAATGCATATGCAACAGGTTCTATACATGTTTATGTTCGTTCTAGTTATCGAGACAGCTCGCAAATCTACAGTTTCTTTGTATCCTGAGTTTATAAACCAGATTCTGTATGTTGGGCAGAAAAGCTTCGTGTTCTACATTAACAGTCTTGGATTTATCATATATGCCTTGCAGTTTGTAGTTTGAAGTGCTGTGTTTGAAGTTGAAAGGGGATGCAAGGTATTACTAATCCCACATCGGATGAAGATATGTCAGGGAGTGAGAAAGGGTTTAATATAAGGGTGGTCAGGTTCTGTAAAAAAATTATCTTTGCGCTTGGGGCAATGACGCAGCTAGTGAGGTACTAACCGAGGCGCGTCAATTGCTGGTTGAAAACTATTTCCAAACCCCCTCATAGGCCAGGGTTTGCCTCTGGCCTTTGAGAATTTCTGGAAGGACTCCCTCTAACCCAGGGTAAAGTCCTACAATTCTAGTTTAAATTTTTAGAATTTGTTTTTATAAAATAGAAGGCCAAAAATTTTTTGTAATTAATTCTATTTGTTTACCCTAGCAAGTGAATGTATTTAAATAATAATTTTTATAAAAAATTTTAGTTTGTTTTAATTTAATTAAGTAATAGTATTTTCTTATGTTATCATTTGTTATCATAAAATCTGTAATTACATGTATAAATTATTAGAATATAAATTAGACTTTATTTCTTCACATAAATATAAAAAATTACATGCAAGTGTATTACTAATAAATAAGTAAGAATTTGAAAATTAAATGGGTGTAAAAAATTATTTTTTTTGGTGTAAAAAATAAATTTAAAAAAAAAATATGTTGGTATAATTAATTTTATAATAATAATTAGGAAAAAAATTAAATTAAAACACTCCAAATTAATTTCTTAATTATTGATTTTTGAGTTTCTAAATTAAAACACTCCAAATTTTCTCGTATATGAATTACTCTTACTCCTTGAATACCTTTTTAATCTTTAATTTGTCTTCTCTTCTCCAAATTTTCTCACATAGATCAAAGTGGCTGATAGCAAGTGATTCCAACCTTATGCTTGTGTAAATGTTTCAATGATAAAACAAAACACACACACACACACACACTAAATCTGATGAACAGAAACCTAATATCTCGAGACAAAAAGGGAAAAAAAAAATCAACATTGTTATATGTTTATTAAGTTTTTTATGACATAATCTCCAACATTAAATATTAATGAAATCCACTTATTTAATGGTAAAAATTGTCTCATATCACTTGAGATAATAAATTTGATAAAACATCTTGATCAGCATTAATGTTGAAAGAAAATAAGAAGTACCTACACTACGACCGGAATACCCAAATTAAGAATGGTTTAATTTCACAGCTAAACCCAAAAACAACTACCCACTATGGAGAATCATCTGAAATCTGGGCAGATTTTCACTTCAGTAAAGTCTATTCCAACAACAATTTCACTTGCTGGTGTAAACAGTAAAATAAGGACGAACAAGCATGAAACTGCAACCATTCATATACTTCTGAAGAGGTGCAGTAGAACTTATCCACAAATCAGCATTTAGTTTGTAAGGAAATGAAACAAATTTGACCATAGAAACAATGTTTGGTTCAAATATATACAAAGTATAGGAACAACAAATTCTTATCCATCAGGAATTCAAACTGGAAACAAAGTATAATTTTAACATCATATCAAATTCAATTAATCAAGGAATAGTTTCATACTAACAGTGCCACAAGTACAAGAAGAAGCAAAAGCTTATCTACAAAGAGTTTGGATGTATACAATGAAATCTTTGGCCATTTTACAACCACCAAAACCTAGCATCATGGTTGGAGCAAGTAAATATTTGTTCGTGCACATCTATCTATTAAAGAGCATGAAAGAAACGGTGTCTTCTCCTCCTCGAGTGTCTTTGAGAAGCCCTTGACATGACATAGGGAACAAAGTGAACCTGCAATATATCTCAATCAAATTGTACAAGTAGGCTGAAATTGTTAAGAGAATGACGAAGGGGATTAAATCCAAAAAAGGTTAGGGCATACATAAAATCCCACAAGCAACACACCAGAGAGTTAAAGCTTCAGCAATGGAACATGTGCACAGGTAAAAATGAAGGGTGGATCTTAGCTTTACCTAGAAATCTGACCAAGTCGACCCATTTGAATGAAGTTCAAAGACAATTCCAAATGAGGTCATCAACGAAACTGGAGTTCTCTGATCGTGTGAAATCAATTTTAGGCTTTTATGATAAAACAATACGAACCATATTGCCATCGCTACTGTAATACTGTGATGGCCATCACACTCTGAAGTGGGGCCATTCATGATGAATTTCTACTTGAACTAATATATAAAATGCAATTGAGCCAATTCATTTTGCGGACACCCAAACACACCCATAGTTCATACGAAAATCATAGCCATCAATTTGAATCACACAATGTGTTTTATGACACCCTTTATATCCTATCTCACCTTTCCAACTCGAACAGATGATAGCTTCAAAAGAGTAACTTTTGAACACATGATATTACTGGCAGGTAAATTTGACTCATACCATCAAAAGAGTAACTTTTTAAGTACCTGAGAATTATTGCGTATGCCATAATCTTGAAGAGCGGCATTGTCATGGAGTAGTTTCTCATTTTGGTACGCCAAGCAAAAGTTTGCCCAAACATGTTTCCTGAAACAAACAAAAAAACGTTGAAATTCAACTTGCAAACAAACATTCATTCTGTTTCCAATGAGCTAAACCGGGGAACAAAGCTGCAGATCGTATAACATTTGATATAAGTTAAACAATTACACATACCCCCCTCCCCACCCCCGAAAACATATATTCAATTTAACCTCGCTTAAGACAAAGTAATAGACAAGCTACCACCTTTTAAAATTAGCCTTTTTTTTTTTATATATCACTGCCAAGTAAAATCTACTAATCAACAAGGTCAACAGATTCATTGCAACAAAAAAAATTTAATAAAATAAGGCACAGCAAAATTTGTGAGCATTCACAGAAGGGGGAAAAGAATTAAGTATGAAGGTCAGTTGTAATTACAGCATTGACGGTAGTAATTCAAGCCTATTCTTCAAGAATAGTCAAAAGATCAAGGAACTTAAACACAAACACACACACCCAAACAAATGCGTGCAAATGTAAGAAACATACCAAGAAATGTGGCGATGGCCCATCATAGACTCCTCCACATTGTTAACTTTCTTTTTGATTACCAATTTCAAATCCTTCACCGTCCCAGAATTCATCACCGCCACATCTTCATCCACAAAATACCATCCAGATAGGCAACCATTATAAACAACTACGCCATACACACGCTACATGTTTGTTAAATTGACAAGCTGGGTGAGAGAGGGAGAGGTGCAAATACCAAGAGAAGTATTGTCCAATTTAAGGACGGCGATGCGCATGGCACTGCCAAGTTCTAAGCTGATGAGAGTGTCCACATCTGAAAGTGTCGGTTTTCTGGGTACATCTGTGAGTACAGGATCGTCGAGGAGGGTGGCTAGTGTCGAGAGCAGCTTTGCCTTCTTGACGCTGCTGCTGTTGTATTCTGCTCCAACGTTGTCCTCCTCTTCTCCCTTCATACCAACTGATGATGAATCCATCCTCAACTTCTAGCTCCAAGGAAAGGTGGAGCAGTGCCTGCCGTTGTAGAGTAAATTCACTGAGCTGCTTAATTTCATAACTGTATCTACTTTTTGATGAGTTTATGACTCTAAACTATCTCTGAAATAATTTTTTTTGTCAATGCAGCCCATCAGCTATGCAATCTGATTCAATATGGCATTGCGTCCAAATTCACTGTTAATTTTAACAGACCGTCTTACGTGCACATCCTGTGTATCCAAGGGCGGAGCTAGAACTTTTCCCCAGTGGGGGCAACCTAAAACTTGTAGCTGATTCAAAAATTAATTTGTTTAGCTAGATGCAACTCAATATTTATCATTAAGTTCTTAACAATCAACTTATAAGTACCATAAATGACCAAAATAAATCGAACAATTTCAATAGAAACAATAAAAAATTGAATCTATCACAATTCCACTAGACCAAACTTAGAAGTACGAACAATGTAATGTATCACAATCAAATTATGCAAATCCAATCAATCACAATAATTTAATTACTCATCGGCACTGCAATTAATGTTTCAAAGAGATCAATACACTACTAATTGAATTCCAATATTTTAGTTCAAATTCAGATAATCAAAGTTCTAATGTCTACTAGTAGGAAAATATTTAAATGGACAACAATAATAGAACCCTAATTACAGCATCCAAAAATAGAGCAAATTACAAAAAAGTACCGAAAGAGAAGAAATCGTTTATGGCTCACCTCTCGACAGACCAGGTCCAATTTCCATGAAGTTATCCTCTCAATCAACCAACACAAAGAACGATTGATGTCAAAATCGAAGAGAGCGAAGATTAAAGAGACAAAAGAGAGAGAGGAAAAACTAATGAGTAAAGAAGAGGGAAGAGAGAGAGAGGGGAAAAACTAATGAGTGAAGAAAGGGAACGAACAAAGAGAACAGAGGAAGAGATATCTCAAACATGAAATGGAGACGAACTGAAGGCAATACGTGGAGGACGTTCCGGGTGAATTCTCTTAACTAGGCCTTACAAAATACAACACGACCCAATTACTCGACACGAATTGACACAAAATTAGCCGGGTTTATGTTAGACCATAAAAGATTTGGGTGATAAATAGGTGAATCCGTCAGATCCCTATGGTACACGAGTTGTGCTGGGGTAAAATATATCAACCAATTTATCCATTAAAATATTAGTCATTTATAAAAAGAGAAAATTTGGGGGTCGATCCACTTTTCAAAACTTATTTGAGAATAAGTCCATTTCAATCTCCATAGTCCAAAATACCCCCGGCAGTTATATTTAATTAAACAAATTTGAAATATAAAAATTCCTAAATTTTAGGAGTTTAACAAACATTAAAATTTTTTCAAGTTTTGTATATGCCCGAAGGCACAGAGTAACAAAAAAATCAATATATTATGCCAAAATTTCACATCTGTGCAACAATATATTCAAATTAGGTACGAGGTCCGAATCCGGGTTAGTGTTAGGTCCAAGGTAAGGTCTGTATTTTCATTTCCACTTGACGCTCTGTATTTCATTTCATTTGCTAGAACAACTTGTTTTTTCTTTTCCTTTATAGCTAGCATTCACCATTGTGTTTGACTTTTTTTTTTCCTTTAAACAAACAATATGGATAAGCAATAAAATTTTTTTGTAATAATCTATGTAAACTTGTATGAGAATGTTAACAACTCATGAATTCCTCAATAATCAAAGGCTGGAAAAGAAAAAGAACAAAAGACATCCAAAATGCAACCTAAATCATGTGAAGCACTAAAGAAAAAACTCATCCGAGAATTTAGCTAAAATTTGAAGAATTTAAAAATGCATGCAAATTCCATGTTATTAGCAATAACAACAAAACAATCATAAGTTACCTTTGAAAATTCATTGGTTCAACAAAGCAAGTGAAAAAAATAAATTAACTTTAGCTAAATGAATTTATAATGGTAACAAATTTGCTCAATCAACAAACCCCTCAACCAATTATAGTATAAAATATAAGCAAATGTGAATAGTTATAATCACTATGAGTGACACTACAAAGAGCATATTGGAATGTTAAGCATAATACCCACACATAAAATTTAATGCAATCTCCAAATTTATAATGGTAACAACTGTTTATTAGGATATAATACCAACCCATAAAATCCAATCCAATGACTAAACAAATATGATCAGTTACAATCGTTATAAGTGACACTACAATGAGCACATTGGAATGTCAAATTCTCTAAATCAGATATTAACTGAAATTAGTGGAAAGAAACCACAAAAGGGAGAAGGGCTTACAATATTAAATATCTCCAGAGCCAAATCTAAATCTTATCACCTATAAATCACCTCTTACCTGTCAAAATAGGCATTAAGCAAATTTACATGTCACTTTTATAACTCAGTCTGGAAAAAATAGCAAATAAAAAAATAGAAATCATCATAAAAATTACCAATTTTAATTGATATATGTACAAATTTCAATTCAAATCAAGTCTTGGTGCCCGTTTATATGCATATCACATTGACAGAGTTTGTGTTTTGAGGTTTTTGTAGGTGAAGAAAAGTAGTTAATGCCCAAATGTACCGCTCCCCATCTAGTGATGATAATCAGTATGCTCTAGGTATGTTTATTAGTTTTGGTAATGTTAGAGCATATAAAGGATTAGCCACTACAGTGATGATGGATGTAATTCAAATGACAAACTTATCAAATTATTTTATTTATGGAAATTAAATTTATCTATATTGGGTGTTGTTTAGTGCTCTAGGTTACATGGAAATGAGTCAGATCATCACAAAGAGATACTAAAGCAAGACGTGACTGCTTTGGCGAACTACCATACGTATGAGTTTTTTTCTTGTAGAAAATTACTTCACTCAAATAAACACAAAAACGCTTCCCACAAAAAATTGGTCTAATGCCTAGCCTCACGACTTAGATGGAATGACACAGAAATTAACATGGGTTAACTGGTGAAAAAGGGCCATACCAATATCTCATAGAATAGCCTTGCACCATTTAATGTCCATTGTTGGACTTTGGCCATGTTAGAAAGTTACCTTTATGCATGATCACTGATCAATTAATGAGGTGGAGGTTTGTTTAGTTGGTATTGATCAATTGATAGATAATTGCAAAGTTATATGCCACTCCTGTGACATAATACCATAATTCATATACAACAAAACCAAAACAGAGAAGAAGCACCAAATATTGCAGCAATTGTTATGGATTTGTTATAATTATTTCAAAATACATAACCTGTGAATTATAACCTTTATATAAATGTTAAAATATATTGTAAGTTGTGATTCTTTATTTTTTTGAAAGGTTAAAAAAAAATATTGTTCCAAAAAAATTAGATATTACAATAAAGTTTAGATACAAATCTTAAACCATTTGAACTAATCCAATAACCTAGTAAAACCAAAATACCAAAAAATGGATTACATGAACAAACAAAAGTCTCACACATCCAATTTGGCCAAGCACACCATCTGCCCCTTTTAAATTCCTTGAATTCATCATGATGAGCCACAAATCACCTCACCCGAATAATTTTAACCGAAACATTGCCAAATTTTCCACATGGTGAGGCTTTAACACACCAAAGCACTTGCGATTCTGTGCTAGGCCTATGTTCCATTACAAATCTTTTTGTTTTCCAAACTGACAAGCACACCCACAAATCGAGAACCCAAATCACAAATATCCACATCAAAAACATTCCAACACACCCACCAATCGAGAACACAAACCACATATATGCATATCAAAAAAAAATCTCAAACATTGCCACGATAATTTAAACTTTGCCATGGCAATATATCGAACAGTTGGTACGCAGGGGATGGGAGAAAGACGGAGGGGCATTGTGGGGTGGGGTTACGATGGTGGATATAGGGAGAGGAGGGAGAGAACGACAAAGAAAGAGAGAGTTACCATTAACATGGGCTGGTCGCCGGAGCGGAGAGAAGAAACTAATCAGAAAAAACGAAAGGGGTGTGTTGGAGAGGGGAGAGAGAATGAAAGAGAGGTAACTGAAAGAGGAGGTGGGTATGGTTGGGCAATTGCTGGCTGTTGTTAGCGATGGCCGTGCAGCGACGCAGAGCGAGATGAAAGAAGGGGCGGCTGCTGGCAGTTGAAAGCGCGGCTGCTGGGATTGAGTGCGGTTAAATTTGACAGTTCATTGTTCAGACAAGTCTTGTTATCCATAAATTAGTAATAATTCGTGCCTAAAATAATATAAAATATAAAATTTGAGCGTTTAAAAAATTAATTTTACTGTATTTAATTTTTTTTAAATATATTAATTATAAATTAATTAAATATTAAATAATTAAATATATAATAAAAATAAATTGTGTAATATTTTTAAAGAGAAAATATATAAATAATTAAATATGTGATAGAAATGAGTGATGTAATTTGACATTTGAGTCTGACAAAAGGATGATGGGTGAAGTAAGTGATTGATGATGATTTTAAAGAAAAAAATATGACTGAAATAAAATTCAAACAGACTCCTATTTTATTATATAAATTTCTTATTTTCAGTTTATTTGTGTACATACTACCACAGGTTGTGCACAACTGGGCTAACACTATGGTAGAATGCAGTGTTATTAGCCCAAGACAGCCAACCCCTGAGCCATGACTATCAAGATTTAAGAACAACCCAAGACAAGACCTTGTTGATGCTTGAGAGTATAAGACCTTCGGAGTATTGAAAGGCCTAAGGCTGGGCTGTAGTAGCCCGTCTAGGCAAGCCCCTCAGCCCTTCTCCACTTAGTTTGTTTGGGCTTCCTAATTGTTACATGCCCGGTTAGAAGTTTGGGTGACAAAAAAAAAAAAAAAGAGTTAACCTAAAGTAAATGACAAACAATGAACAATTTGTCAAATTTCTAGTGAGCATGAATCCATCATCAAAGGCCAAGACGACAGACACATTTTAGATAGAAGGGCAGTCAGCTACACTTACTATGACTTTGAAGGTATATTAGAAAGCAAATAGCAAGAGCACCAAGAAAGCGAAAATTTCTAAGGACTCATAATAACTAAACGCACTATAACACGGAATAACATATGAGCGTAAAGTATAAGGAGGACAATAAATGCAAGTTAGCGAAAAAGTCAACTAATAGAGCAAACGCCAAAGTGAGGGACATCTAGTCAGATAATACGAAAGCAAGAAAAAAAACTTTGTTTCTGATGATACTTGGAAAAAATTTCAAGTTTGAGTTCAGGAATTGAGATCAGGAAGGGAGTTCAGCCAAGAGAGCCTAAGCTTAGAGGTCGAGGCCTTGGGCTCCCTCAACCTGCACCCTAAAAAAAATGAGTGAAAGACAGCTCACAACCACCTAAACCATCGCCTGAAATCAAGTGAGATATTACATGAGGGAAGCAAAGATCTCGCCATGAATCCCATAAAGTTAGAAACTAGGCTATAAATATTATACAATATTCTCACTTTGAGGCAGAGAAACCAAGCATAGTAGCAAGAATATTGTGTAATCTCTTCATAATCTTCAATACAATTCTCTAGAGTAAGAGACTTCATTAAATAGTGGATTAACCAAACTCTCAAGCTAATGAATTATTATAAATACTCTATATAATCACCTAGTCATCCCAAACTCCTATTTCCTAGAGCTCTCAAGTTCAGATTGAACTAAATCCAACTATTCTACGCACCTTATTCTAACACCATTGCTGAATCGTGCTGAATCGTGATAAGAACAACATTAGTTTCAAATGATCGAAAAATAATGATTGAATTCGAGTAAAATTGATAAAGTGGAGTGATCATTGCTAGGAGACCAGATGGATGAGACTCTCTCCAATAGGGGCGAACTCATTCCCACATTCGTTCAATAGAAAAATGTATCTTCTTGTTGAATAATCTGACCTTCAAGTCCCTTTTAGTTCTTTAATGGACAAACTCAGAAAGTCCTTCAAATCTGACCAACGCCATCCAAACCACCCTGAAGAACGACAAATTCTCTTGAACCAAAGTGAAAATCCCATGGCATCACAGTCTACTGATCTGGGCGATCGTAAAGATGTAGTAATCAAAATCACTGGCAAAGAGAACAGTAAACAAACTGAGATTGCTTCACAATCGCCGTCGCCGTCGCAGATTTCCGATCGTGGAAGTGATACTACCGGCAAGATGTGGGGAGACTCTAGCTACGATTTCTCGAACGATGTAACGTTGGCTAGAGTTGCGAGAGAGTTCGACTTTACGACAGATTCACCGTTGTCGCAGCGTTCGCCGTTATCGAGAATTCCTGAGAGTCCGAACTACGGTCAAGTTTCGCCGAGGGAAGTGAGGGTTTCTTTCAACGAGACCACGACTGAGTCGGTTCGAAGACGGTCCAATGCTGGTGCTGAGCTCATTGGTGGTGAACAACAAGAGGTTTTAGTGTGCAGTTCGAACTCGTCGTTTCGGCAGAAATCGAGCTTGTTGAGGACGAAGTCTAAGTCGAGGTTGATGGACCCACCTGAAGATCAGAGGTCTCAGAGACTCATGAAGTCTGGTATGATCGGAAAAGTTAGTGAAATTGACGAGGACGACCCTTTCTTGGAGGAAGATCTACCAGATGAGTACAAGACGATGAAGTTCAGTACATTGGCTCTGCTTCAATGGGTGAGCTTGATTTTGATCATTGCAGCTTTGGTTTGTAGCATTGCCATTCCATTTTTAAGAAGAAAAACGATTTTTGAGCTTGAATTGTGGAAATGGGAGCTTATGATTTTGGTTTTGATCTGTGGAAGACTGGTTTCGGGTTGGGGAATTCGAATCGTTGTGTTCTTCATTGAGCGTAATTTTCTGTTGCGAAAACGGGTTTTGTATTTTGTTTATGGGTTGAGGAATGCTGTGCAGAATTGTATTTGGTTGGGTTTGGTTTTGATTGCCTGGCAATGTATTTTTGATAAGAAGGTTGAGAGAATGACCGATGGGATGGTATTACCTTATGTGACCNTCAATAGAAAAATGTATCTTCTTGTTGAACAATCTGACCTTCAAGTCCCTTTTAGTTCTTTAATGGACAAACTCAGAAAGTCCTTCAAATCTGACCAACGCCATCCAAACCACCCTGAAGAACGACAAATTCTCTTGAACCAAAGTGAAAATCCCATGGCATCACAGTCTACTGATCTGGGCGATCGTAAAGACGTAGTAATCAAAATCACTGGCAAAGAGAACAGTAAACAAACTGAGATTGCTTCACAATCGCCGTCGCCGTCGCAGATTTCCGATCGTGGAAGTGATACTACCGGCAAGATGTGGGGAGACTCTAGCTACGATTTCTCGAACGATGTAACGTTGGCTAGAGTTGCGAGAGAGTTCGACTTTACGACAGATTCACCGTTGTCGCAGCGTTCGCCGTTATCGAGAATTCCTGAGAGTCCGAACTACGGTCAAGTTTCGCCGAGGGAAGTGAGGGTTTCTTTCAACGAGACCACGACTGAGTCGGTTCGAAGACGGTCCAATGCTGGTGCTGAGCTCATTGGTGGTGAACAACAAGAGGTTTTAGTGTGCAGTTCGAACTCGTCGTTTCGGCAGAAATCGAGCTTGTTGAGGACGAAGTCTAAGTCGAGGTTGATGGACCCACCTGAAGATCAGAGGTCTCAGAGACTCATGAAGTCTGGTATGATCGGAAAAGTTAGTGAAATTGACGAGGACGACCCTTTCTTGGAGGAAGATCTACCAGATGAGTACAAGACGATGAAGTTCAGTACATTGGCTCTGCTTCAATGGGTGAGCTTGATTTTGATCATTGCAGCTTTGGTTTGTAGCATTGCCATTCCATTTTTAAGAAGAAAAACGATTTTTGAGCTTGAATTGTGGAAATGGGAGCTTATGATTTTGGTTTTGATCTGTGGAAGACTGGTTTCGGGTTGGGGAATTCGAATCGTTGTGTTCTTCATTGAGCGTAATTTTCTGTTGCGAAAACGGGTTTTGTATTTTGTTTATGGGTTGAGGAATGCTGTGCAGAATTGTATTTGGTTGGGTTTGGTTTTGATTGCCTGGCAATGTATTTTTGATAAGAAGGTTGAGAGAATGACCGATGGGATGGTATTACCTTATGTGACCAAAATTTGGGTGTGTCTTTTGGTGGGTACTCTGATTTGGCTTCTGAAAACACTTCTTGTTAAGGTTCTTGCTTTCTCCTTCCATGTCAATACGTTTTTTGATCGGATTCAAGAGTCTTTGTTTAATCAGTATGTAATTGAGACACTCTCGGGTCCACCATTGATTGAAATTGAGGAAGAACAGGAAGAGGAGGAGAGGGTCATGGTTGAGGTACAGAAGCTTCAGAATGCTGGGGCAACTATTCCTGCAGACCTGAGGGCAAATTTGTTTCCAAGGAGTGGGAAAGGAACACCTCAAAAGAGCCCCATGTCTGCCACTGGAACTACTAATACAAAGAGTCCTAGATTTTCTAGGGTCAACTCTAAGAAGGAGAAGGATGAGGAGAGGATCAAAATTGACCACTTGCACAGGTTGAATCAGAAGAATATTTCAGCATGGAATATGAAGAGGTTGATGAATATTGTTCGAAAAGGGGTGCTATCGACTTTGGATGAGCAACTACAAGAGTCAACTACTGAGGACGAGTCTGCAGTGCAGATCACAAATGAAAACCAGGCAAAAGCTGCAGCCAAGAAGATATTCTGCAATGTGAGCAACCCAGGGTCCAAGTAAGTTCTTTGAATAAATATGTCACTTAGTTTCTCATAAGCATTATGGTTGATGTGAGAGTTGCATGTTAATTTCAGTAATCATAGAGAATGGTAATTAGCTATTAGTAAGTTCAATTGCTATGTTTTGATCCTTATTTTGTGTGCACAAGAAAGAACTGCATCATTGGGTTGCCGTAGGGCAGAGATTTCACTGCTCTTTGCGTTACATTTGGATACATGCTTAACAATACGATTTCCAGTTAGAAGGATGCAGATCTGAAATTGGTCTCAGTGAGCCTGCAACTCAGGTCACCAAATACAAAACAATATGCACCCAGAGAGGTTGTTATAGCTGTCATTGTTTTTGCTGGTTATGTTCATTGAACTTATTGTGAGATATGAATCAACATCTACACTTTGCTGTGCAATTACCTTCTGGTTTTATGCATATCTTAAAAATTTGAATGTTCTATTGCCTGTGTATATCTCAAATTGCCTTTGCACTCTCAGGCACATCTACCTCAAGGATCTGATGCGCTTTATGAGAGACGATGAAGCCTTGAAGACCTTGCATCTCTTTGAAGGAGCAAGTGAAAGCAAGGGCATAAGCAAGAGAGTTCTTAAAAATTGGGTGGTAAATAGCATTTTTATGTTTTCCAGACCTCTTTTCTTGTCCCTTGCTAGTTGGTAATATTATTACTATATAATAGTACAAGTCTATGACACTGTCAACTGAATTCTTCAATGCTCTTTCTGTCCATTGTATTTGTGTGATCACTCATATTCTCATGCGAAATTGCATTCTTCACGCGCTGATTGCGGTGTTCCTTCCTCTGCTACATGATGATCCTCAGCATTAGTCGCCTCTTCTAGATATACGTTATTGTAAAGATGCACATCATTGAAATATGGTAAGTCCCTCCAACAATATCCATCTGGAAAATGTAATTATACTTGAAAGACTATCTTAAATGAGGCAATAGAAGAGAAGATTGACCTAGTTTTAGCAAGTAGGCGTGTTCAATATAGCCCCAAAACTAAACAGAGAAACAAAAAATGCATTAATGCCAGTATGCCACAAAAAAACAGTCTCTTTTTTCTCATATTGTGTAAGAACATGATCTATGTTGTTACATTCTTCCAAAGAAGGTCACCACGGTGGGGCTTGAATTCTCCATTATTTGCTCGGATAATTCAAGTGATGCAGCTTAGTTTCAACTACTTGTGTAATGAGTTTCTTACCTTGATGTGGGGATACTGTCATGTCACATTTTTGGGTTGTGAATGACCAGAACTAACTCATCTCAATATGACTGCCAATCGAGTTTTGTTGTGTAGCTTATGAGACTACATTATCTAATGCAAGCAAATCTTGATTTGTGGCCTGTTAATACCAATGCCAAACATCGTACAGAAAGTCCTCAATTAACCTGGAGGGCTTGATAAGATGCAATTTTACACAACTTGGACCTACCTTTATATTGGAGACCATCTCTGGTCTTTCCCTCGAGCTTATGGATCGAAAATACAGTGCCTGATTAACTGAGTTGGGTTAAGATTGAATTGTCTATACTTCCATTCAATCGTAAGGTAGGGTCTAGGTTTTGAAATGATGTTGCCTTATGTGCTATTCTATGATTGTATGAGAATATTTTGAATTTCCCTTTCCCAGGTCAATGCATTCAGAGAACGGAGAGCTCTTGCTTTATCTCTCAATGACACCAAAACTGCCGTAAACAAACTCCACCACATGTTGAATGTCCTTGTAGGACTCCTCATAGTAGTTATCTGGCTTCTTATACTCAAAGTTGCAACTACCCATTTCTTCATCTTTTTAAGCTCCCAGCTTCTTTTGGTGGTCTTCATGTTTGGAAACACATGCAAGACAACATTTGAATCAATCGTCTTCTTATTTGTATTGCACCCATATGATGTGGGAGACCGAGTGGAAGTGGAAGGAGTTCAGGTAAGAAGCTGTAATTATGTTTTGTGTTTTCGTTTCCACACTCATGCATTTAAGCGTGTCTTTATATTTCAAGTTTGAGGCTATAACTTCCATTTCTTTGAGTTTCAGATGATAGTTGAAGAGATGAATATATTAACAACTGTTTTTCTGAGGTTTGATAGCCTAAAGATCACATATCCAAACACTGTTCTATCTACCAAGCCCATCAGTAATTATTATCGAAGCCCAGATATGGGAGATTCAATCGATTTTTGTATCCACATCTCAACTCCCATGGAAAAGATTGCCAAGATGAAAGAAAGGATAACAAGGTATTTATGGATATGCCTATGTTTTTCTCGAGTTACTTAGTTTGACCATCTTAATGGATGTTTGTCCATTTCTTCCTCTAATCTGCTGTATTTTACGCCTTCCTTCATTGCAGGTACATTGAAACCAAGGGCGATCACTGGCACCCAGCCCCAATGATAGTTCTGAGGGATGTGGAGGACATGAACAGACTGAAAATATCAATATGGCTTTCACACAGAATGAACCATCAGGACATGGGTGAGAGGTGGGCAAGGAGAGCTCTTTTGGTTGAGGAGATGATCAAAGTGTTCAAGGAGCTTGATGTCGAGTACCGCATGCTACCCCTTGACATGAATATCCGCCATATGCCAGCCTTGACTTCAAACAGGCTGCCCTCTATTTGGACAGCCTCTTCTACCTGATCATACATGAAGAATGACCCAACTTTTGCCATTTCCTTTCAAACTGGCTCCTGATCTTCTCTAATACTTTTTCTCTCTATTTTCGTCATTGGTAGATCACCACCATGTATTATTAAGGGATTCATATATATAAAGTGGTTCCACTTGGTTGATATACTAAAAAGAAAAATAAAATTGTATTTGAAGATGTTGTGATTCATGTGTGTGATGAACAATTAATGAAACAGAATAATAGAAGAAGAATAAAAAATTTACGTGGTTCGATAACTTACCTACATTTAAAATTTTAGAGTAGTTGCTTTGTTTTTATTTCACAGTAAATTAGGGGTACAAGTTAATTTGTATATGTTTTAACCCTAATTAAGACATTCCGAAGGCACGTGCTTTGCACACATTTTGGCAACTGACCCATTATTCCCTTGGGCCTAGCATAACTCCACATAATCTAAATATGAGCCACTTATCTCAACAGAAGAGAATCTCACTTATTTTGAACTTTGGACATTTAGCAAAATTGCCTTTGGATTAGGAAAAAGAAGTACTAGGTATTGTGCCCCTTTCGTTTTCAGACAAGCACACGAGTTTTCTAACTTGAAAAACATCATAGCACATAACAGAGTTGATTGTATCATGTTTGTATATTATAAGTATATTCGAGTGCGTCCAAATTATGCAACAGGTAGCTGAAGGTATCAATGCATTATTATAAGTTTTGGTCTCATATAACAACTATCGAAAGAACAAAAAGGAATGGAAAATGCAATGAATGATACACCTAGACAAGGTAGTCCAAGGATATGCTTATCTATTCCCCATCCTAACACCATTGCTGAATCGTGATAAGAACAACATTAGTTTCAAATGATCGGAAAATAATGATTGAATTCGAGTAAAATTGATAAAGTGGAGTGATCATTGCTAGGAGACCTGATGGATGAGACTCTCTCCAATAGGGGCGAACTCATTCCCACATTCGTTAGTCGCAAAGTTAGAAACAGTAGCGACTTTTTAGGTGGTCACTTTAGAAGGTATCTCTAGTGATATTTTACCTCTATTCATGGCTAATACAAAAAATACATTCCCTTTTAAGTAATGGGGGGCGTAAATCGAATAAGCAGCTTAATAAAGCTTCATGTATTAGCTCGAATTTTGAAGTTAATTTTGTCAAGCTGAGTCAAGGGCTTTAATGTTCCGTTTGTTAAAAATGATAAAAAGTACGAGGGATACAATTTTTATCTTTCAAGGAAAGAAAGTAGGAATGATACATTTTTTTTTCTTTTGTGTTTAGTAGGATTGATAAAAAATAAAAATAATTAATTTTTTTTTTGTACTGGATAAGATTAGGGGTGACAATCGAGTCGAGTCGTGTCGTGTCAGGTTCGTATTTAGTTATTACGGATTTGTGTTAAACATTGGTCATTACAGATTTGTGTCAAACATTAGTCAAACCTAACTCAACTTATTTAACTAATTATGTCATGTTGAGTTGATCTGTTTATTTTCGTATCATGTTTGTATTTATATTCGTATTGATCAACATAAATTTTAAATAAAAAATTTAACGCTAATATTTTATTTTCACTTAATTGAATTCATGTTCATATTTTTTCTACAAACTAAAAATTAACTTAAATATAATAATAATAAGTAAAAATATTTTTCTATATAATAACTATGTTAGTACTTAATAAATAGTTACAAATAATTAATATTTTATGTCTATAATACTAATTGAACATGTTAGTTTCGTGTTAATTTCATGTTACCATATAAACGAAAAAATAGAGAAAATGTTTATTTTTAAATAAACGGGTTGATGATGTCAATTTTGAGTTTGACGGGTTGAACTAAATATGAGTCGTTTATATTTCTTATTCGCGTGTCTGGTCATTTTCAAGTTTATGTTATAAAATTCATGTTGAATTCAAGTTTTGTCATCGTGTTGAGTCGAAAATTTTCACAACTAGTTAAGGTGGAAAAAATAATTTTTTAAATTTATTAAATATATATATATATATATATATATATATATATATATATGAAATTAATGTATACATAATATATGTATATAGCAAAAGATATATAAACAAATAAAATATATTTCAACACAAATAATTAAATTTCTATTTACTTTTCTTCCGATTTTGGAGAGATTGATTTTGGTGAGTTGGAAGAAAAGTTATATATCAAAAGATATATAAAAAATATATATATATCTCAACACAAAGAATTAACTTTCCATTCATTTTTTTTTCTGATTTTGAAGGGATTAATTTTGGTGAGTTAGAAGGAAAGTTAATCTATCGACTTTTTCATCATTCCTATTTTTCTTCCTTATCAAATATGATGTTTTATTTATCCCTCAAATTTTCCATCCTTTCAACTTTTTAATCTTTCATTTTTCTATCGTACCAAACGAAGCATAAGAGTGATTCCCTTACGAAGAAGTAGATTATTTGGACTGCACATGCTTTGCTNAAAAAAAAAAAAAAAGAGTTAACCTAAAGTAAATGACAAACAATGAACAATTTGTCAAATTTCTAGTGAGCATGAATCCATCATCAAAGGCCAAGACGACAGACACATTTTAGATAGAAGGGCAGTCAGCTACACTTACTATGACTTTGAAGGTATATTAGAAAGCAAATAGCAAGAGCACCAAGAAAGCGAAAATTTCTAAGGACTCATAATAACTAAACGCACTATAACACGGAATAACATATGAGCGTAAAGTATAAGGAGGACAATAAATGCAAGTTAGCGAAAAAGTCAACTAATAGAGCAAACGCCAAAGTGAGGGACATCTAGTCAGATAATACGAAAGCAAGAAAAAAAACTTTGTTTCTGATGATACTTGGAAAAAATTTCAAGTTTGAGTTCAGGAATTGAGATCAGGAAGGGAGTTCAGCCAAGAGAGCCTAAGCTTAGAGGTCGAGGCCTTGGGCTCCCTCAACCTGCACCCTAAAAAAAATGAGTGAAAGACAGCTCACAACCACCTAAACCATCGCCTGAAATCAAGTGAGATATTACATGAGGGAAGCAAAGATCTCGCCATGAATCCCATAAAGTTAGAAACTAGGCTATAAATATTATACAATATTCTCACTTTGAGGCAGAGAAACCAAGCATAGTAGCAAGAATATTGTGTAATCTCTTCATAATCTTCAATACAATTCTCTAGAGTAAGAGACTTCATTAAATAGTGGATTAACCAAACTCTCAAGCTAATGAATTATTATAAATACTCTATATAATCACCTAGTCATCCCAAACTCCTATTTCCTAGAGCTCTCAAGTTCAGATTGAACTAAATCCAACTATTCTACGCACCTTATTCTAACACCATTGCTGAATCGTGCTGAATCGTGATAAGAACAACATTAGTTTCAAATGATCGAAAAATAATGATTGAATTCGAGTAAAATTGATAAAGTGGAGTGATCATTGCTAGGAGACCAGATGGATGAGACTCTCTCCAATAGGGGCGAACTCATTCCCACATTCGTTCAATAGAAAAATGTATCTTCTTGTTGAACAATCTGACCTTCAAGTCCCTTTTAGTTCTTTAATGGACAAACTCAGAAAGTCCTTCAAATCTGACCAACGCCATCCAAACCACCCTGAAGAACGACAAATTCTCTTGAACCAAAGTGAAAATCCCATGGCATCACAGTCTACTGATCTGGGCGATCGTAAAGACGTAGTAATCAAAATCACTGGCAAAGAGAACAGTAAACAAACTGAGATTGCTTCACAATCGCCGTCGCCGTCGCAGATTTCCGATCGTGGAAGTGATACTACCGGCAAGATGTGGGGAGACTCTAGCTACGATTTCTCGAACGATGTAACGTTGGCTAGAGTTGCGAGAGAGTTCGACTTTACGACAGATTCACCGTTGTCGCAGCGTTCGCCGTTATCGAGAATTCCTGAGAGTCCGAACTACGGTCAAGTTTCGCCGAGGGAAGTGAGGGTTTCTTTCAACGAGACCACGACTGAGTCGGTTCGAAGACGGTCCAATGCTGGTGCTGAGCTCATTGGTGGTGAACAACAAGAGGTTTTAGTGTGCAGTTCGAACTCGTCGTTTCGGCAGAAATCGAGCTGGTTGAGGACGAAGTCGAAGTCGAGGTTGATGGACCCACCTGAAGATCAGAGGTCTCAGAGACTCATGAAGTCTGGTATGATCGGAAAAGTTAGTGAAATTGACGAGGACGACCCTTTCTTGGAGGAAGATCTACCAGATGAGTACAAGACGATGAAGTTCAGTACATTGGCTCTGCTTCAATGGGTGAGCTTGATTTTGATCATTGCAGCTTTGGTTTGTAGCATTGCCATTCCATTTTTAAGAAGAAAAACGATTTTTGAGCTTGAATTGTGGAAATGGGAGCTTATGATTTTGGTTTTGATCTGTGGAAGACTGGTTTCGGGTTGGGGAATTCGAATCGTTGTGTTCTTCATTGAGCGTAATTTTCTGTTGCGAAAACGGGTTTTGTATTTTGTTTATGGGTTGAGGAATGCTGTGCAGAATTGTATTTGGTTGGGTTTGGTTTTGATTGCCTGGCAATGTATTTTTGATAAGAAGGTTGAGAGAATGACCGATGGGATGGTATTACCTTATGTGACCAAAATTTGGGTGTGTCTTTTGGTGGGTACTCTGATTTGGCTTCTGAAAACACTTCTTGTTAAGGTTCTTGCTTCCTCCTTCCATGTCAATACGTTTTTTGATCGGATTCAAGAGTCTTTGTTTAATCAGTATGTAATTGAGACACTCTCGGGTCCACCATTGATTGAAATTGAGGAAGAACAGGAAGAGGAGGAGAGGGTCATGGTTGAGGTACAGAAGCTTCAGAATGCTGGGGCAACTATTCCTGCAGACCTGAGGGCAAATTTGTTTCCAAGGAGTGGGAAAGGAACACCTCAAAAGAGCCCCATGTCTGCCACTGGAACTACTAATACAAAGAGTCCTAGATTTTCTAGGGTCAACTCTAAGAAGGAGAAGGATGAGGAGAGGATCAAAATTGACCACTTGCACAGGTTGAATCAGAAGAATATTTCAGCATGGAATATGAAGAGGTTGATGAATATTGTTCGAAAAGGGGTGCTATCGACTTTGGATGAGCAACTACAAGAGTCAACTACTGAGGACGAGTCTGCAGTGCAGATCACAAATGAAAACCAGGCAAAAGCTGCAGCCAAGAAGATATTCTGCAATGTGAGCAACCCAGGGTCCAAGTAAGTTCTTTGAATAAATATGTCACTTAGTTTCTCATAAGCATTATGGTTGATGTGAGAGTTGCATGTTAATTTCAGTAATCATAGAGAATGGTAATTAGCTATTAGTAAGTTCAATTGCTATGTTTTGATCCTTATTTTGTGTGCACAAGAAAGAACTGCATCATTGGGTTGCCGTAGGGCAGAGATTTCACTGCTCTTTACGTTACATTTGGATACATGCTTAACAATACGATTTCCAGTTAGAAGGATGCAGATCTGAAATTGGTCTCAGTGAGCCTGCAACTCAGGTCACCAAATACAAAACAATATGCACCCAGAGAGGTTGTTATAGCTGTCATTGTTTTTGCTGGTTATGTTCATTGAACTTATTGTGAGATATGAATCAACATCTACACTTTGCTGTGCAATTACCTTCTGGTTTTATGCATATCTTAAAAATTTGAATGTTCTATTGCCTGTGTATATCTCAAATTGCCTTTGCACTCTCAGGCACATCTACCTCAATGATCTGATGCGCTTTATGAGAGACGATGAAGCCTTGAAGACCTTGCATCTCTTTGAAGGAGCAAGTGAAAGCAAGGGCATAAGCAAGAGAGTTCTTAAAAATTGGGTGGTAAATGGCATTTTTATGTTTTCCAGACCTCTTTTCTTGTCCCTTGCTAGTTGGTAATATTATTACTATATAATAGTACAAGTCTATGACACTGTCAACTGAATTCTTCAATGCTCTTTCTGTCCATTGTATTTGTGTGATCACTCATATTCTCATGCGAAATTGCATTCTTCACGCGCTGATTGCGGTGTTCCTTCCTCTGCTACATGATGATCCTCAGCATTAGTCGCCTCTTCTAGATATACGTTATTGTAAAGATGCACATCATTGAAATATGGTAAGTCCCTCCAACAATATCCATCTGGAAAATGTAATTATACTTGAAAGACTATCTTAAATGAGGCAATAGAAGAGAAGATTGACCTAGTTTTAGCAAGTAGGCGTGTTCAATATAGCCCCAAAACTAAACAGAGAAACAAAAAATGCATTAATGCCAGTATGCCACAAAAAAACAGTCTCTTTTTTCTCATATTGTGTAAGAACATGATCTATGTTGTTACATTCTTCCAAAGAAGGTCACCACGGTGGGGCTTGAATTCTCCATTATTTGCTCGGATAATTCAAGTGATGCAGCTTAGTTTCAACTACTTGTGTAATGAGTTTCTTACCTTGATGTGGGGATACTGTCATGTCACATTTTTGGGTTGTGAATGACCAGAACTAACTCATCTCAATATGACTGCCAATCGAGTTATGTTGTGTAGCTTATGAGACTACATTATCTAATGCAAGCAAATCTTGATTTGTGGCCTGTTAATACCAATGCCAAACATCGTACAGAAAGTCCTCAATTAACCTGGAGGGCTTGATAAGATGCAATTTTACACAACTTGGACCTACCTTTATATTGGAGACCATCTCTGGTCTTTCCCTCGAGCTTATGGATCGAAAATACAGTGCCTGATTAACTGAGTTGGGTTAAGATTGAATTGTCTATACTTCCATTCAATCGTAAGGTAGGGTCTAGGTTTTGAAATGATGTTGCCTTATGTGCTATTCTATGATTGTATGAGAATATTTTGAATTTCCCTTTCCCAGGTCAATGCATTCAGAGAACGGAGAGCTCTTGCTTTATCTCTCAATGACACCAAAACTGCCGTAAACAAACTCCACCACATGTTGAATGTCCTTGTAGGACTCCTCATAGTAGTTATCTGGCTTCTTATACTCAAAGTTGCAACTACCCATTTCTTCATCTTTTTAAGCTCCCAGCTTCTTTTGGTGGTCTTCATGTTTGGAAACACATGCAAGACAACATTTGAATCAATCGTCTTCTTATTTGTATTGCACCCATATGATGTGGGAGACCGAGTGGAAGTGGAAGGAGTTCAGGTAAGAAGCTGTAATTATGTTTTGTGTTTTCGTTTCCACACTCATGCATTTAAGCGTGTCTTTATATTTCAAGTTTGAGGCTATAACTTCCATTTCTTTGAGTTTCAGATGATAGTTGAAGAGATGAATATATTAACAACTGTTTTTCTGAGGTTTGATAGCCTAAAGATCACATATCCAAACACTGTTCTATCTACCAAGCCCATCAGTAATTATTATCGAAGCCCAGATATGGGAGATTCAATCGATTTTTGTATCCACATCTCAACTCCCATGGAAAAGATTGCCAAGATGAAAGAAAGGATAACAAGGTATTTATGGATATGCCTATGTTTTTCTCGAGTTACTTAGTTTGACCATCTTAATGGATGTTTGTCCATTTCTTCCTCTAATCTGCTGTATTTTACGCCTTCCTTCATTGCAGGTACATTGAAACCAAGGGCGATCACTGGCACCCAGCCCCAATGATAGTTCTGAGGGATGTGGAGGACATGAACAGACTGAAAATATCAATATGGCTTTCACACAGAATGAACCATCAGGACATGGGTGAGAGGTGGGCAAGGAGAGCTCTTTTGGTTGAGGAGATGATCAAAGTGTTCAAGGAGCTTGATGTCGAGTACCGCATGCTACCCCTTGACATGAATATCCGCCATATGCCAGCCTTGACTTCAAACAGGCTGCCCTCTATTTGGACAGCCTCTTCTACCTGATCATACATGAAGAATGACCCAACTTTTGCCATTTCCTTTCAAACTGGCTCCTGATCTTCTCTAATACTTTTTCTCTCTATTTTCGTCATTGGTAGATCACCACCATGTATTATTAAGGGATTCATATATATAAAGTGGTTCCACTTGGTTGATATACTAAAAAGAAAAATAAAATTGTATTTGAAGATGTTGTGATTCATGTGTGTGATGAACAATTAATGAAACAGAATAATAGAAGAAGAATAAAAAATTTACGTGGTTCGATAACTTACCTACATTTAAAATTTTAGAGTAGTTGCTTTGTTTTTATTTCACAGTAAATTAGGGGTACAAGTTAATTTGTATATGTTTTAACCCTAATTAAGACATTCCGAAGGCACGTGCTTTGCACACATTTTGACAACTGACCCATTATTCCCTTGGGCCTAGCATAACTCCACATAATCTAAATATGAGCCACTTATCTCAACAGAAGAGAATCTCACTTATTTTGAACTTTGGACATTTAGCAAAATTGCCTTTGGATTAGGAAAAAGAAGTACTAGGTATTGTGCCCCTTTCGTTTTCAGACAAGCACACGAGTTTTCTAACTTGAAAAACATCATAGCACATAACAGAGTTGATTGTATCATGTTTGTATATTATAAGTATATTCGAGTGCGTCCAAATTATGCAACAGGTAGCTGAAGGTATCAATGCATTATTATAAGTTTTGGTCTCATATAACAACTATCGAAAGAACAAAAAGGAATGGAAAATGCAATGAATGATACACCTAGACAAGGTAGTCCAAGGATATGCTTATCTATTCCCCATCCTAACACCATTGCTGAATCGTGATAAGAACAACATTAGTTTCAAATGATCGGAAAATAATGATTGAATTCGAGTAAAATTGATAAAGTGGAGTGATCATTGCTAGGAGACCTGATGGATGAGACTCTCTCCAATAGGGGCGAACTCATTCCCACATTCGTTAGTCGCAAAGTTAGAAACAGTAGCGACTTTTTAGGTGGTCACTTTAGAAGGTATCTCTAGTGATATTTTACCTCTATTCATGGCTAATACAAAAAATACATTCCCTTTTAAGTAATGGGGGGCGTAAATCGAATAAGCAGCTTAATAAAGCTTCATGTATTAGCTCGAATTTTGAAGTTAATTTTGTCAAGCTGAGTCAAGGGCTTTAATGTTCCGTTTGTTAAAAATGATAAAAAGTACGAGGGATACAATTTTTATCTTTCAAGGAAAGAAAGTAGGAATGATACATTTTTTTTTCTTTTGTGTTTAGTAGGATTGATAAAAAATAAAAATAATTAATTTTTTTTTTGTACTGGATAAGATTAGGGGTGACAATCGAGTCGAGTCGTGTCGTGTCAGGTTCGTATTTAGTTATTACGGATTTGTGTTAAACATTGGTCATTACAGATTTGTGTCAAACATTAGTCAAACCTAACTCAACTTATTTAACTAATTATGTCATGTTGAGTTGATCTGTTTATTTTCGTATCATGTTTGTATTTATATTCGTATTGATCAACATAAATTTTAAATAAAAAATTTAACGCTAATATTTTATTTTCACTTAATTGAATTCATGTTCATATTTTTTCTACAAACTAAAAATTAACTTAAATATAATAATAATAAGTAAAAATATTTTTCTATATAATAACTATGTTAGTACTTAATAAATAGTTACAAATAATTAATATTTTATGTCTATAATACTAATTGAACATGTTAGTTTCGTGTTAATTTCATGTTACCATATAAACGAAAAAATAGAGAAAATGTTTATTTTTAAATAAACGGGTTGATGATGTCAATTTTGAGTTTGACGGGTTGAACTAAATATGAGTCGTTTATATTTCTTATTCGCGTGTCTGGTCATTTTCAAGTTTATGTTATAAAATTCATGTTGAATTCAAGTTTTGTCATCGTGTTGAGTCGAAAATTTTCACAACTAGTTAAGGTGGAAAAAATAATTTTTTAAATTTATTAATTATATATATATATATATATATATATATATATATATATATGAAATTAATGTATACATAATATATGTATATAGCAAAAGATATATAAACAAATAAAATATATTTCAACACAAATAATTAAATTTCTATTTACTTTTCTTCCGATTTTGGAGAGATTGATTTTGGTGAGTTGGAAGAAAAGTTATATATCAAAAGATATATAAAAAATATATATATATCTCAACACAAAGAATTAACTTTCCATTCATTTTTTTTTCTGATTTTGAAGGGATTAATTTTGGTGAGTTAGAAGGAAAGTTAATCTATCGACTTTTTCATCATTCCTATTTTTCTTCCTTATCAAATATGATGTTTTATTTATCCCTCAAATTTTCCATCCTTTCAACTTTTTAATCTTTCATTTTTCTATCGTACCAAACGAAGCATAAGAGTGATTCCCTTACGAAGAAGTAGATTATTTGGACTGCACATGCTTTGCTAGGATGGGGAATAGATAAGCATATCCTTGGACTACCTTGTCTAGGTGTATCATTCATTGCATTTTCCATTCCTTTTTGTTCTTTCGACAGTTGTTATATGAGACCAAAACTTATAATAATGCATTGATACCTTCAGCTACCTGTTGCATAATTTGGACGCACTCGAATATACTTATAATATACAAACATGATACTATCAACTCTGTTATGTGCTATGATGTTTTTTAGGTTAGAAAACTCGTGTGCTTGTCTGAAAACGAAAGGGGCACAATACCTAGTACTTCTCTTTCCTAATCCAAAGGCAATTTTGCTAAATGTCCAAAGTTCAAAATAAGTGAGATTCTCTTCTGTTGAGATAAGTGGCTCATATTTAGATTATGTGGAGTTATGCTAGGCCCAAGGGAATAATGGGTCAGTTGTCAAAATGTGTGCAAAGCACGTGCCTTCGGGATGTCTTAATTAGGGTTAAAACATATACAAATTAACTTGTACCCCTAATTTACTGTGAAATAAAAACAAAGCAACTACTCTAAAATTTTAAATGTAGGTAAGTTATCGAACCACGTAAATTTTTTATTCTTCTTCTATTATTCTGTTTCATTAATTGTTCATCACACACATGAATCACAACATCTTCAAATACAATTTTATTTTTCTTTTTAGTATATCAACCAAGTGGAACCACTTTATATATATGAATCCCTTAATAATACATGGTGGTGATCTACCAATGACGAAAATAGAGAGAAAAAGTATTAGAGAAGATCAGGANTCAATAGAAAAATGTATCTTCTTGTTGAATAATCTGACCTTCAAGTCCCTTTTAGTTCTTTAATGGACAAACTCAGAAAGTCCTTCAAATCTGACCAACGCCATCCAAACCACCCTGAAGAACGACAAATTCTCTTGAACCAAAGTGAAAATCCCATGGCATCACAGTCTACTGATCTGGGCGATCGTAAAGACGTAGTAATCAAAATCACTGGCAAAGAGAACAGTAAACAAACTGAGATTGCTTCACAATCGCCGTCGCCGTCGCAGATTTCCGATCGTGGAAGTGATACTACCGGCAAGATGTGGGGAGACTCTAGCTACGATTTCTCGAACGATGTAACGTTGGCTAGAGTTGCGAGAGAGTTCGACTTTACGACAGATTCACCGTTGTCGCAGCGTTCGCCGTTATCGAGAATTCCTGAGAGTCCGAACTACGGTCAAGTTTCGCCGAGGGAAGTGAGGGTTTCTTTCAACGAGACCACGACTGAGTCGGTTCGAAGACGGTCCAATGCTGGTGCTGAGCTCATTGGTGGTGAACAACAAGAGGTTTTAGTGTGCAGTTCGAACTCGTCGTTTCGGCAGAAATCGAGCTGGTTGAGGACGAAGTCGAAGTCGAGGTTGATGGACCCACCTGAAGATCAGAGGTCTCAGAGACTCATGAAGTCTGGTATGATCGGAAAAGTTAGTGAAATTGACGAGGACGACCCTTTCTTGGAGGAAGATCTACCAGATGAGTACAAGACGATGAAGTTCAGTACATTGGCTCTGCTTCAATGGGTGAGCTTGATTTTGATCATTGCAGCTTTGGTTTGTAGCATTGCCATTCCATTTTTAAGAAGAAAAACGATTTTTGAGCTTGAATTGTGGAAATGGGAGCTTATGATTTTGGTTTTGATCTGTGGAAGACTGGTTTCGGGTTGGGGAATTCGAATCGTTGTGTTCTTCATTGAGCGTAATTTTCTGTTGCGAAAACGGGTTTTGTATTTTGTTTATGGGTTGAGGAATGCTGTGCAGAATTGTATTTGGTTGGGTTTGGTTTTGATTGCCTGGCAATGTATTTTTGATAAGAAGGTTGAGAGAATGACCGATGGGATGGTATTACCTTATGTGACCAAAATTTGGGTGTGTCTTTTGGTGGGTACTCTGATTTGGCTTCTGAAAACACTTCTTGTTAAGGTTCTTGCTTCCTCCTTCCATGTCAATACGTTTTTTGATCGGATTCAAGAGTCTTTGTTTAATCAGTATGTAATTGAGACACTCTCGGGTCCACCATTGATTGAAATTGAGGAAGAACAGGAAGAGGAGGAGAGGGTCATGGTTGAGGTTCAGAAGCTTCAGAATGCTGGGGCAACTATTCCAGCAGACCTGAGGGCAAATTTGTTTCCAAGGAGTGGGAAAGGAACACCTCAAAAGAGCCCCATGTCTGCCACTGGAACTACTAATACAAAGAGTCCTAGATTTTCTAGGGTCAACTCTAAGAAGGAGAAGGATGAGGAGAGGATCAAAATTGACCACTTGCACAGGTTGAATCAGAAGAATATTTCAGCATGGAATATGAAGAGGTTGATGAATATTGTTCGAAAAGGGGTGCTATCGACTTTGGATGAGCAACTACAAGAGTCAACTACTGAGGACGAGTCTGCAGTGCAGATCACAAATGAAAACCAGGCAAAAGCTGCAGCCAAGAAGATATTCTGCAATGTGAGCAACCCAGGGTCCAAGTAAGTTCTTTGAATAAATATGTCACTTAGTTTCTCATAAGCATTATGGTTGATGTGAGAGTTGCATGTTAATTTCAGTAATCATAGAGAATGGTAATTAGCTATTAGTAAGTTCAATTGCTATGTTTTGATCCTTATTTTGTGTGCACAAGAAAAAACTGCATCATTGGGTTGCCGTAGGGCAGAGATTTCACTGCTCTTTGCGTTACATTTGGATACATGCTTAACAATACGATTTCCAGTTAGAAGGATGCAGATCTGAAATTGGTCTCAGTGAGCCTGCAACTCAGGTCACCAAATACAAAACAATATGCACCCAGAGAGGTTGTTATAGCTGTCATTGTTTTTGCTGGTTATGTTCATTGAACTTATTGTGAGATATGAATCAACATCTACACTTTGCTGTGCAATTACCTTCTGGTTTTATGCATATCTTAAAAATTTGAATGTTCTATTGCCTGTGTATATCTCAAATTGCCTTTGCACTCTCAGGCACATCTACCTCAAGGATCTGATGCGCTTTATGAGAGACGATGAAGCCTTGAAGACCTTGCATCTCTTTGAAGGAGCAAGTGAAAGCAAGGGCATAAGCAAGAGAGTTCTTAAAAATTGGGTGGTAAATAGCATTTTTATGTTTTCCAGACCTCTTTTCTTGTCCCTTGCTAGTTGGTAATATTATTACTATATAATAGTACAAGTCTATGACACTGTCAACTGAATTCTTCAATGCTCTTTCTGTCCATTGTATTTGTGTGATCACTCATATTCTCATGCGAAATTGCATTCTTCACGCGCTGATTGCGGTGTTCCTTCCTCTGCTACATGATGATCCTCAGCATTAGTCGCCTCTTCTAGATATACGTTATTGTAAAGATGCACATCATTGAAATATGGTAAGTCCCTCCAACAATATCCATCTGGAAAATGTAATTATACTTGAAAGACTATCTTAAATGAGGCAATAGAAGAGAAGATTGACCTAGTTTTAGCAAGTAGGCGTGTTCAATATAGCCCCAAAACTAAACAGAGAAACAAAAAATGCATTAATGCCAGTATGCCACAAAAAAACAGTCTCTTTTTTCTCATATTGTGTAAGAACATGATCTATGTTGTTACATTCTTCCAAAGAAGGTCACCACGGTGGGGCTTGAATTCTCCATTATTTGCTCGGATAATTCAAGTGATGCAGCTTAGTTTCAACTACTTGTGTAATGAGTTTCTTACCTTGATGTGGGGATACTGTCATGTCACATTTTTGGGTTGTGAATGACCAGAACTAACTCATCTCAATATGACTGCCAATCGAGTTTTGTTGTGTAGCTTATGAGACTACATTATCTAATGCAAGCAAATCTTGATTTGTGGCCTGTTAATACCAATGCCAAACATCGTACAGAAAGTCCTCAATTAACCTGGAGGGCTTGATAAGATGCAATTTTACACAACTTGGACCTACCTTTATATTGGAGACCATCTCTGGTCTTTCCCTCGAGCTTATGGATCGAAAATACAGTGCCTGATTAACTGAGTTGGGTTAAGATTGAATTGTCTATACTTCCATTCAATCGTAAGGTAGGGTCTAGGTTTTGAAATGATGTTGCCTTATGTGCTATTCTATGATTGTATGAGAATATTTTGAATTTCCCTTTCCCAGGTCAATGCATTCAGAGAACGGAGAGCTCTTGCTTTATCTCTCAATGACACCAAAACTGCCGTAAACAAACTCCACCACATGTTGAATGTCCTTGTAGGACTCCTCATAGTAGTTATCTGGCTTCTTATACTCAAAGTTGCAACTACCCATTTCTTCATCTTTTTAAGCTCCCAGCTTCTTTTGGTGGTCTTCATGTTTGGAAACACATGCAAGACAACATTTGAATCAATCGTCTTCTTATTTGTAATGCACCCATATGATGTGGGTGACCGAGTGGAAGTGGAAGGAGTTCAGGTAAGAAGCTGTAATTATGTTTTGTGTTTTCGTTTCCACACTCATGCATTTAAGCGTGTCTTTATATTTCAAGTTTGAGGCTATAACTTCCATTTCTTTGAGTTTCAGATGATAGTTGAAGAGATGAATATATTAACAACTGTTTTTCTGAGGTTTGATAGCCTAAAGATCACATATCCAAACACTGTTCTATCTACCAAGCCCATCAGTAATTATTATCGAAGCCCAGATATGGGAGATTCAATTGATTTTTGTATCCACATCTCAACTCCCATGGAAAAGATTGCCAAGATGAAAGAAAGGATAACAAGGTATTTATGGATATGCCTATGTTTTTCTCGAGTTACTTAGTTTGACCATCTTAATGGATGTTTGTCCATTTCTTCCTCTAATCTGCTGTATTTTACGCCTTCCTTCATTGCAGGTACATTGAAACCAAGGGCGATCACTGGCACCCAGCCCCAATGATAGTTCTGAGGGATGTGGAGGACATGAACAGACTGAAAATATCAATATGGCTTTCACACAGAATGAACCATCAGGACATGGGTGAGAGGTGGGCAAGGAGAGCTCTTTTGGTTGAGGAGATGATCAAAGTGTTCAAGGAGCTTGATGTCGAGTACCGCATGCTACCCCTTGACATGAATATCCGCCATATGCCAGCCTTGACTTCAAACAGGCTGCCCTCTATTTGGACAGCCTCTTCTACCTGATCATACATGAAGAATGACCCAACTTTTGCCATTTCCTTTCAAACTGGCTCCTGATCTTCTCTAATACTTTTTCTCTCTATTTTCGTCATTGGTAGATCACCACCATGTATTATTAAGGGATTCATATATATAAAGTGGTTCCACTTGGTTGATATACTAAAAAGAAAAATAAAATTGTATTTGAAGATGTTGTGATTCATGTGTGTGATGAACAATTAATGAAACAGAATAATAGAAGAAGAATAAAAAATTTACGTGGTTCGATAACTTACCTACATTTAAAATTTTAGAGTAGTTGCTTTGTTTTTATTTCACAGTAAATTAGGGGTACAAGTTAATTTGTATATGTTTTAACCCTAATTAAGACATTCCGAAGGCACGTGCTTTGCACACATTTTGACAACTGACCCATTATTCCCTTGGGCCTAGCATAACTCCACATAATCTAAATATGAGCCACTTATCTCAACAGAAGAGAATCTCACTTATTTTGAACTTTGGACATTTAGCAAAATTGCCTTTGGATTAGGAAAAAGAAGTACTAGGTATTGTGCCCCTTTCGTTTTCAGACAAGCACACGAGTTTTCTAACCTAAAAAACATCATAGCACATAACAGAGTTGATTGTATCATGTTTGTATATTATAAGTATATTCGAGTGCGTCCAAATTATGCAACAGGTAGCTGAAGGTATCAATGCATTATTATAAGTTTTGGTCTCATATAACAACTGTCGAAAGAACAAAAAGGAATGGAAAATGCAATGAATGATACACCTAGACAAGGTAGTCCAAGGATATGCTTATCTATTCCCCATCCTAGCAAAGCATGTGCAGTCCAAATAATCTACTTCTTCGTAAGGGAATCACTCTTATGCTTCGTTTGGTACGATAGAAAAATGAAAGATTAAAAAGTTGAAAGGATGGAAAATTTGAGGGATAAATAAAACATCATATTTGATAAGGAAGAAAAATAGGAATGATGAAAAAGTCGATAGATTAACTTTCCTTCTAACTCACCAAAATTAATCCCTTCAAAATCAGAAAAAAAAATGAATGGAAAGTTAATTCTTTGTGTTGAGATATATATATATTTTTTATATATCTTTTGATATATAACTTTTCTTCCAACTCACCAAAATCAATCTCTCCAAAATCGGAAGAAAAGTAAATAGAAATTTAATTATTTGTGTTGAAATATATTTTATTTGTTTATATATCTTTTGCTATATACATATATTATGTATACATTAATTTCATATATATATATATATATATATATATATATATATATATAATTAATAAATTTAAAAAATTATTTTTTCCACCTTAACTAGTTGTGAAAATTTTCGACTCAACACGATGACAAAACTTGAATTCAACATGAATTTTATAACATAAACTTGAAAATGACCAGACACGCGAATAAGAAATATAAACGACTCATATTTAGTTCAACCCGTCAAACTCAAAATTGACATCATCAACCCGTTTATTTAAAAATAAACATTTTCTCTATTTTTTCGTTTATATGGTAACATGAAATTAACACGAAACTAACATGTTCAATTAGTATTATAGACATAAAATATTAATTATTTGTAACTATTTATTAAGTACTAACATAGTTATTATATAGAAAAATATTTTTACTTATTATTATTATATTTAAGTTAATTTTTAGTTTGTAGAAAAAATATGAACATGAATTCAATTAAGTGAAAATAAAATATTAGCGTTAAATTTTTTATTTAAAATTTATGTTGATCAATACGAATATAAATACAAACATGATACGAAAATAAACAGATCAACTCAACATGACATAATTAGTTAAATAAGTTGAGTTAGGTTTGACTAATGTTTGACACAAATCTGTAATGACCAATGTTTAACACAAATCCGTAATAACTAAATACGAACCTGACACGACACGACTCGACTCGATTGTCACCCCTAATCTTATCCAGTACAAAAAAAAAATTAATTATTTTTATTTTTTATCAATCCTACTAAACACAAAAGAAAAAAAAATGTATCATTCCTACTTTCTTTCCTTGAAAGATAAAAATTGTATCCCTCGTACTTTTTATCATTTTTAACAAACGGAACATTAAAGCCCTTGACTCAGCTTGACAAAATTAACTTCAAAATTCGAGCTAATACATGAAGCTTTATTAAGCTGCTTATTCGATTTACGCCCCCCATTACTTAAAAGGGAATGTATTTTTTGTATTAGCCATGAATAGAGGTAAAATATCACTAGAGATACCTTCTAAAGTGACCACCTAAAAAGTCGCTACTGTTTCTAACTTTGCGACTAACGAATGTGGGAATGAGTTCGCCCCTATTGGAGAGAGTCTCATCCATCAGGTCTCCTAGCAATGATCACTCCACTTTATCAATTTTACTCGAATTCAATCATTATTTTCCGATCATTTGAAACTAATGTTGTTCTTATCACGATTCAGCAATGGTGTTAGGATGGGGAATAGATAAGCATATCCTTGGACTACCTTGTCTAGGTGTATCATTCATTGCATTTTCCATTCCTTTTTGTTCTTTCGATAGTTGTTATATGAGACCAAAACTTATAATAATGCATTGATACCTTCAGCTACCTGTTGCATAATTTGGACGCACTCGAATATACTTATAATATACAAACATGATACAATCAACTCTGTTATGTGCTATGATGTTTTTTAGGTTAGAAAACTCGTGTGCTTGTCTGAAAACGAAAGGGGCACAATACCTAGTACTTCTTTTTCCTAATCCAAAGGCAATTTTGCTAAATGTCCAAAGTTCAAAATAAGTGAGATTCTCTTCTGTTGAGATAAGTGGCTCATATTTAGATTATGTGGAGTTATGCTAGGCCCAAGGGAATAATGGGTCAGTTGTCAAAATGTGTGCAAAGCACGTGCCTTCGGAATGTCTTAATTAGGGTTAAAACATATACAAATTAACTTGTACCCCTAATTTACTGTGAAATAAAAACAAAGCAACTACTCTAAAATTTTAAATGTAGGTAAGTTATCGAACCACGTAAATTTTTTATTCTTCTTCTATTATTCTGTTTCATTAATTGTTCATCACACACATGAATCACAACATCTTCAAATACAATTTTATTTTTCTTTTTAGTATATCAACCAAGTGGAACCACTTTATATATATGAATCCCTTAATAATACATGGTGGTGATCTACCAATGACGAAAATAGAGAGAAAAAGTATTAGAGAAGATCAGGAGCCAGTTTGAAAGGAAATGGCAAAAGTTGGGTCATTCTTCATGTATGATCAGGTAGAAGAGGCTGTCCAAATAGAGGGCAGCCTGTTTGAAGTCAAGGCTGGCATATGGCGGATATTCATGTCAAGGGGTAGCATGCGGTACTCGACATCAAGCTCCTTGAACACTTTGATCATCTCCTCAACCAAAAGAGCTCTCCTTGCCCACCTCTCACCCATGTCCTGATGGTTCATTCTGTGTGAAAGCCATATTGATATTTTCAGTCTGTTCATGTCCTCCACATCCCTCAGAACTATCATTGGGGCTGGGTGCCAGTGATCGCCCTTGGTTTCAATGTACCTGCAATGAAGGAAGGCGTAAAATACAGCAGATTAGAGGAAGAAATGGACAAACATCCATTAAGATGGTCAAACTAAGTAACTCGAGAAAAACATAGGCATATCCATAAATACCTTGTTATCCTTTCTTTCATCTTGGCAATCTTTTCCATGGGAGTTGAGATGTGGATACAAAAATCAATTGAATCTCCCATATCTGGGCTTCGATAATAATTACTGATGGGCTTGGTAGATAGAACAGTGTTTGGATATGTGATCTTTAGGCTATCAAACCTCAGAAAAACAGTTGTTAATATATTCATCTCTTCAACTATCATCTGAAACTCAAAGAAATGGAAGTTATAGCCTCAAACTTGAAATATAAAGACACGCTTAAATGCATGAGTGTGGAAACGAAAACACAAAACATAATTACAGCTTCTTACCTGAACTCCTTCCACTTCCACTCGGTCTCCCACATCATATGGGTGCAATACAAATAAGAAGACGATTGATTCAAATGTTGTCTTGCATGTGTTTCCAAACATGAAGACCACCAAAAGAAGCTGGGAGCTTAAAAAGATGAAGAAATGGGTAGTTGCAACTTTGAGTATAAGAAGCCAGATAACTACTATGAGGAGTCCTACAAGGACATTCAACATGTGGTGGAGTTTGTTTACGGCAGTTTTGGTGTCATTGAGAGATAAAGCAAGAGCTCTCCGTTCTCTGAATGCATTGACCTGGGAAAGGGAAATTCAAAATATTCTCATACAATCATAGAATAGCACATAAGGCAACATCATTTCAAAACCTAGACCCTACCTTACGATTGAATGGAAGTATAGACAATTCAATCTTAACCCAACTCAGTTAATCAGGCACTGTATTTTCGATCCATAAGCTCGAGGGAAAGACCAGAGATGGTCTCCAATATAAAGGTAGGTCCAAGTTGTGTAAAATTGCATCTTATCAAGCCCTCCAGGTTAATTGAGGACTTTCTGTACGATGTTTGGCATTGGTATTAACAGGCCACAAATCAAGATTTGCTTGCATTAGATAATGTAGTCTCATAAGCTACACAACATAACTCGATTGGCAGTCATATTGAGATGAGTTAGTTCTGGTCATTCACAACCCAAAAATGTGACATGACAGTATCCCCACATCAAGGTAAGAAACTCATTACACAAGTAGTTGAAACTAAGCTGCATCACTTGAATTATCCGAGCAAATAATGGAGAATTCAAGCCCCACCGTGGTGACCTTCTTTGGAAGAATGTAACAACATAGATCATGTTCTTAAACAATATGAGAAAAAAGAGACACTGGTTTTTTGTGGCATACTGGCATTAATGCAGTNGAGTATGTGTATATTTGATACATAAAAACTGTGATTTATTCTAATCCGTGCTAGCACCGTATTACATTCGCTCTGATAAAACCACCCAACCTCTAACACTTGTCAGCATACAAGATACGAAACTACCATGGGGCCATGGTCCCCCTCATCCATGTTGATCAAGAAACTTTATACACATATATCTGTAGTACTAAATACCATTTTTGTAATGCATTGGCTCTCTAGACAATTTATACCTCTATTTTTAGTCATTTACACATATAATGACTCCATATAATATATTTTATTTAATGAAATGACCTCTTCATAAAAGAGGTACTACTATAATAATATTACATAAACTATGATATGCTTTGAATTTAGTAGCTATTTGTAGTTTTTTTTGTGTTGTTTATGATATTTTCTTGTTACAATTTATAAACTAGTATCTAACAAGTTCAATATGGTTCACATCAGTGGTATGAATTTTTGTTCGAAGATTGCCCAGTCCCTTCTCCATCCTAGTGATGAAATCTTGGTTCTGTCCCGGTCGCCAACCCTCATGGTTTTGCGTCTTGTGGCCTCAAATCGCCAAGCCACCTCGTGATGATTTGATGGGTTGTCACGCTTTCAGCCAGCTCAAGTAATAAATATAAAGTAACAATTGAAATTATTTTTAATTTATTGATTTAATTCAATATCATCGTTAAATCAATAATAGAGCCAATTGACTTTTACCTTTCGCCATTACAAAAATAAATATTTTTTGTGACAAATTTTTTACAACAACTATATTTGTCGTCACAAAAGATGTATTAAAGACAATTTTTTGTAGCGACTGTGTTTGTCGTCACAAAAAACATGTTTGTGTTAATAGTTGTAACAACTATTTTATGTCATAAACTCAAAAAAAAAAATTTATATTTGAGACAACTGTTTTTTCTATCTCAAATAATATTTTATAAATTCAAAAGAATTTTTTACATTTATGGCAGCTACTTTTCCCATAGTAGATAATATTTCATAAAACATTAAAATGTTGTTTTAGATTAAAAAATATTTTATTGTTTAAAGAAGAAAAACTATAAAAAAAATTTGTATTGACTACAATTATTTTTTATATTACAAGTAATATTTTATAAAATTACGTAGTTTAACATCAAAAGACAATTTTCAGTTCAAAGAAAAAAAAATTAAACTCTACAAAGTCAAGTTTTTATATCAAAATTAGGGGTGCCAAAATATAACACGACCTATTAACATGACATAAAATTAGTGGATTTGATTCTTCCTTAAGTCACCTGTTTAATAAACGAGTAGATCCGTCACAATACGATTATAAACGAATCAGGTATTGGTGAAACCAATTAAAAGAAATGTATACGATAAGAATCGTTTATATATCATTTACATAATTGGACAAGTTATTCAGAGAAATATTGTGTGACCCTTTATTGATGTATATTCTAACTTCTTTTAGTTCTTTATTGTATATATGTATATAAATATTATTTCAGTATTGTAACAATAATTTTATAATTTTTTCAGATATTACTGAGAGAGTAAATGGTTTGGAAAGGATGTTCAACTTTTTTGCATTAATTTTTTGAACTCATAAATCGTTATATTTTATAAAAATGCATATTTTACATTTTGTTTAACTCATAAGATTATTTTTTTTTATATATATAAAAATATTGTTATGTTTTTGGAAATGTTAATTATATTTACTTTTGTGTTTATNTCTTCTTAAAAATGGAATGGCAATGCTACAAACCAAAGCTGCAATGATCAAAATCAAGCTCACCCATTGAAGCAGAGCCAATGTACTGAACTTCATCGTCTTGTACTCATCTGGTAGATCTTCCTCCAAGAAAGGGTCGTCCTCGTCAATTTCACTAACTTTTCCGATCATACCAGACTTCATGAGTCTCTGAGACCTCTGATCTTCAGGTGGGTCCATCAACCTCGACTTAGACTTCGTCCTCAACAAGCTCGATTTCTGCCGAAACGACGAGTTCGAACTGCACACTAAAACCTCTTGTTGTTCACCACCAATGAGCTCAGCACCAGCATTGGACCGTCTTCGAACCGACTCAGTCGTGGTCTCGTTGAAAGAAACCCTCACTTCCCTCGGCGAAACTTGACCGTAGTTCGGACTCTCAGGAATTCTCGATAACGGCGAACGCTGCGACAACGGTGAATCTGTCGTAAAGTCGAACTCTCTCGCAACTCTAGCCAACGTTACATCGTTCGAGAAATCGTAGCTAGAGTCTCCCCACATCTTGCCGGTAGTATCACTTCCACGATCGGAAATCTGCGACGGCGACGGCGATTGTGAAGCAATCTCAGTTTGTTTACTGTTCTCTTTGCCAGTGATTTTGATTACTACGTCTTTACGATCGCCCAGATCAGTAGACTGTGATGCCATGGGATTTTCACTTTGGTTCAAGAGAATTTGTCGTTCTTCAGGGTGGTTTGGATGGCGTTGGTCAGATTTGAAGGACTTTCTGAGTTTGTCCATTAAAGAACTAAAAGGGACTTGAAGGTCAGATTGTTCAACAAGAAGATACATTTTTCTATTGATGTAGGTGATGAGTTGGAGCTTAGAACGCAAATGTCGGAACAAAAACAAATAAACACAGAGAAAGTGACTTTTCAAACAAACACGGAGAGAGTGCATGATGGTGCCATGGGAGGTGGATTAGGTACAGCACAGACAAAAGGAGTAAAAGATGGGACTGTGTGAACGGAGACGAGAAGCAGAGGAAGTGGTGACTGGTGAGATTCGAGGATGTCGGGAATCGGGAACGCCCATGTGTCAAACAACATGATTTTTAAGGTCATAGTCGCAGAGAACGGTCTTAATCACATTATTTTTGTTTTGGTGTCGGATTAGTTGATACGAAATTCGATTAACCCCTTTCTAAGTTTGATTAAAAATAAGTCATTCAAATTTATTAAAATATTTAAAAAAAATAAATTTCATTTAACTTAGATTCTCTCAAATACACATTTTTTTTTTTGGATCATTTATTATAAATGAGTGTTAGATTTATTTGTATATAATATTTTTCACTGAAATATAGATAAAATAGTTTGAGAAAAAAATTTATAAAAATAAATATATTGAAGAAGATCTCAAATTCTCAATGTATAAAACTCAATGTGGTGTGTAATCTTAATCAATTATCAACTTACCAAGTTATTCTACTTTTAATCTATGATTTTTAATGTAAAAATATGCCTATAAAATTTATTTTCTAACTTTTAGTTTTATTAAAAATATATTTTGTTAATATGGTTTTATATGAGAAGTCTAAATTTCAACCAAGATTTCATGTAAAACACTTAATAAATTAAGAACTATCTTAGAAAACACATGGTATATAGAATGAAATTAAAAATGATAATTTGGTAAGAATTTCTATGAAATCATCCAAGATATTTTATATAGTTTGCACTACTTATATCAACCACGTTCATATTTTGATTATTAGGGGCGAGATTCTTTAAATAATACTATTATTTAAATTTAATTTGTTGAATTAAACAATTATAATTGTTAAATTGAAAGTAGGTCTTAGAAAATAATGAGTTTTACGGTCAATCTAATGATGTTAAAAAATTAAATCAGTAAATTATATCAATAAATTAAGTCAAAATAATATTACTCATATTTAAGATTTTAAAAATCTAAAAGAAAGTTACAAATCACATTTTACTAGAGTTTAACAGCAAGAATTAGTATTGTATATTATATTGGAAAATTTCACATGAGGTTTTATCAGTTGATAAGTCATGATCAAGATTTTTCCTTAATAAAAAACTTGTCATTGTTAACTTTTTATTTTTACCATGGTTTTTCGTCTTGAATACCCTTTTAGGCGTCGGCCCAAAATTTGAATTGTACAATATTTCAAATCAACTAAAGATGTGATGCGCGTAAGTTCATTTTTAAACTAAATTAAATTTTTATTCAAATTTAAGTTAATATGTGTGGATTAGTGACGTTACTTAATATTAATGAGTGTGTTGATTGCGTTATCTAATATTGAGAATAGTACAAAAAAGATAATATTTTTGAGTGAAAAACACATTTGAGATAAATTATATACCGTTAAATCAAAATTAAATCAATGTTAACCGTTGCTATACTTTTATAAATTAATTTTTTTCCCTATAATATATAGATTAATTGAAGGTACCCTTCCATAACATCATCGCTCTCTGGGTTAAGGTCTTATCCAAACACGAAAATAACGATAAATTGAAAGGGGTACCTAAATTGGGTTTAATTGTAAAAAAGTACACAGAAAAAATGTAAAATAAAGAAATCCTTAATTTTATTTCTTAATTGTGTCAAAGTACATAATTTAAAATTTTTGGATTTTCATTTGACATTTGTGTCTTTCCTTAATTCATGCGATTATTTTTAGAAATTGATTTTTTTTTTCAAATTATAATTATGCATTAAAAATCTCATAATTTAATGGAGGATTTGATTCTTCCATTTATTTTATGGATAAATCAATTGATTTGAATTTTAAATTTTGTAACAGTATCATTTGTTGTATTCTTATTCTTTGGCCTGAAAGCCATTCATCAATGCAAGTTTGAAACATTATTTATTCCTTATCATTTAATCTAAACAATTACAAGGTTTGAATTCATGACTCTTATACGTTAATGTCTATCATTTTAAATGTGATTATTCTATTTTTTTATATGCGAACACCATAACACTTTTTTTTTTGTATTGGGTCATTCTCCCGGTATATAAATTGTCTTTTTTTGTTTGAATTCACAATTACGTCCATCTGGCAAAAAAATTATGTTTTCATTATTCATCTCTTTGTATAAATGTTTTCATTATGTGCCTCTTTGTATATATGTTTTCATTTTGTGTTTCATGGTATCTATGTTTTAATATTTGAAAGGTGTTGCAATAGAGGAAACGGTATTACTGTTATGTACATACAGTAATGCTACTTCGGTCTTCAAAGTATGTATTTAGTTAAATATATTGGAACTTGTTCGTGAAGTTTGCGAGACTTCAGATAAGTTGTTAAATTTGTTGGTCCAATTGTCATATTCTATACCTGGTTACCCCACTTGCATGTTGTGCAACGATGCAGATTTGAAAAACATGATTAAATTGAAATGGAGTTTCCAGAAAATAACGTTCATTGTACAATGTTTATGGAAGATGTTAAGGGCAGTTTGTTAGGTGATAATGATTCATTGTAGAATGTCGACATAGGTGATGTTGTTGATTGAGAAGTAGATTTGTTACCAAATTTTAGTTGTTACAATGAAAAAGTTCTTCTAACAGCTGAGTGGAATAATAAAATACGGCACATAGAACAAAAATTTGAAGGTGGTGCATTACAGTTTCGAAAAGCATTTTGAAAATACTCGATTGAAGTTGGTTTTGAATTTAATTTTGTAAAAAATTGTAAATCAATGGATTTTGTTGAGTATTCTTTTAGTTATGAGTGGTATATCAATGTAACAGTCGAGAACGCTATTGATTTTTTTTTTATATTAGGAAATTACACAATGAACACAGTTGTGGTGTAGATCTACGAACAACAGATAACAAGAGAATGAGTTCTAATTTGATTGCAGATGTGATTGTTGACCGTGTTCATGGGGATACCACAACGTTTCCAATAAAAAGTGGTTGTTGTTTTTTTTTTCTTTTTTCTAATTATGGACTTATCATATCTTATGATAAATCATGGGAACGGATTGAAAAAGAAAAAGATATGCTTTTTGGGAATCACTCATGTCGTACCAACAATTACGTTGGTATGTCGATGCAACAAATCGTTCTAATTCAGACAACCATATTGTTTTAGAGTGTGATCATGAGAATAATCGTTTCAAAAGGTTGTTTATTTCTTTTAAGAGTTGTATTTAGCGGTTTAATTATTGTCGTTCAATACATTTTTTGGATGGTACATTTTTTAAAGACAGATATAGAGGTAATCCTCTATTGTCAACTACAAAAATGACAACCAAGGTAAAGTTCAATACAATTTTTGTGTTTAAAAATTTCATGGTTATGTTACATTGTCATCGTTATGTTACACTGTCGTTGTTACATTGTTACTCCTACATTGTAACATTGTTAACAATGTTTAAATACACTGCTACAATTTATGTTACACTGTTTTAGTTGTTAATTTTTATGAATTTTTATGTGGTTAATTTCAAAGTTGTTCCACTTGGCATTTACGATGGTTGATTCAAAGACTGAATCAAATTGGTTTTAATTTTTAGAACAGTTGTCTAAAATATTGGATCACACTCGAGTTATTACTTTTGTATCTGGTTGTAACTTGGGTCTGTTAGAGGCTATGCCAAAAGTTTTCTTGAGTGCTTATCACTCATTTTGCTTGTAGCATTTGAAAGCTAATATGCGAGATAAATTGGGTGGTGCTCATTTTTTCAATGTATTCCGAGAGCACATGGTTGTTTTGCTACGTGAGTGTGCTTACACACCAACACAGTCATTTTTTAATGAGAAGATTGAAGTTTTCCATCGTGAAGGTGGTTCTAGTGCAGATAGGTTTTTATCCAATCTTTCATTTGAACATTAGATAAATGCTCGTTTTATAGGGAAGCATTATGGTAAGATGTGTTCTAATGCTACGAAGTCGTTTGACGCGTGGATTATGAAAGCTCGACATTTACCTATTTCTAGCATGGTTGACACTATTAGAGGATATATAATGGATCAAATTGATCGAATGATGAAAATAGCTTCAGAGTGGAATGTGATTTTATGCCCCAATATGTCTTTCAGATTACAAGCTACCTTCAATGAAGGGATGTCTTGGACTATACGAGTTTCAAATAATCAAGTGTACGAAGTGATATCATACATTTCGGTGTCTTTTGATATTGTGAATGACACGTGTTCATATTATCAACGGCAAATAAATTGGTTCCCTTGTTCACATGTTGTGTCAGTAATACGAAAGAGTTGACGGAATATGTATGAATTTGTTGATTATTACTACCATGTGAGCACATACAAGAAATCATATTCCGAACCTATTTATCCAATCCCGACTATTTATCATACTGAAAGTTCACAGGTAGACGTTAATATTTTTCCACCATCTACCAAGAAGAAACCTGGTAGACCAAAGAATCGCAGAATTCGGTTTAGATGAAAATTCATTAGGCAAATTTGTTGTAGTCGATGTGGACGTTTAGGTAGTCACAATAAAAAAACTTGTAACGAGTCATTGTAAACTTAAGAATGCTAGCATTTAATGACATTGTTAATTGTTTTTTGTTTAATACAAGTCGTTTTTATAATCTTTTTGGGGTTTGTTTGTGTTAGTGACACTTTATGCTTGTAATATATATATTTTTGTTGGGTCTCACATTGATGGGTTACTCTGTATGCAACCTACATTGTCCAAGAAATATTGTCAATTATAGTTGATCACTATTGCTTTAATTTGTAATAGTTTCACATCATTCATTCATAAAAATCATTATTACATAGTTAATTGATACATTGTTGGAAGCCCTGTATATGCATATTGTTTTGCT